GAGAAGATATTTGGGCGTGAGCACCTAGACACGCTCACTAGTCTTAATAACCTTGCAGTAGTGTTAGATAAACGAGGAAAGCTAGAAGAGGCAGAAGAGATGCATCGGGAAGCGCTGCAAGGACATGAGAAAATATTAGGGCGTGAGCACCCAGATGTATTCTCCAGCCTATACAGTCTAGCCGTCTGTATTCACAGGCAGAAGCGCTACTCTGATGCGCTTGTGTTATACCAACGAGCGCACGATGGGTTTTTAAGGGGATTTGGAGCACAGCACCGGGATACAAAGCGCTGTTCATATGGTCTTGAGCTTGCTCAAAGGGGCGTAGATCTTCCTCCCGAGTTTTAGTAAATACCTAACTCAATTCAAACAAGAGCATTATCATCTTTCTCTATTCATGGACCTGTTTCTTGATAAATAGTACTGTACTCTAGACATGAATGTAAGGGGGAAAAGAGAAGAGATAATCTAGACCTGTTCCCTCTTCTACTATCCATCCACGTATCGCACACAAATGCCATACAACACTGAAGAAAATGCGTACCTTTGACGTGAAATCAGGCATACATAAAAAACCACAATACAAAGAAATTCTGTTCAAAACATTTCTCACTCGGTGATATACACACAAAACCCCCTTGCCCCCCCCCCCTCGTCCCATGCCTTCCCCTACCCAGACCCAAACGAGAACCCATACAAGTCCCATACTTTCCAGAAACTTCCCACGCTAACCCCCCAAAACACATCCAAATCCACCCTTTATCTCCGTTTCCCCTAGAAATCCCCACAAATAACAAAAAAACCCACGCCACTTAGTTCCCCCCCTGCGACCCCGTCGTGCCTCGACTGGATGCCATGTGGCCCTCGGCGGCGGCACCACTGGAAGACGTCGTTGCAGACGATGCGTAGTAGGGCGTATGCGAGGGATTCTGGCCGCTGGACTGTGGAGATGTGACAGTGCTGGTCGTACTGCTGTTGCTTGTGCTAGTGTTTGTGGGGTTGGGGCGGGAGACTTGGAAGGGAGCGAAGCGGACGGGTGGGATGAACATATTTTCGATTTTTTTTTAACTTTTCTTGTTTTCGTTTTAAAATAAAGTGGTTTTTGTTTTGGGTTTACGAGAGGTTTGTGTTGTTCGACTGCTTTTTTTTGCTTTTCCCCCCAAAAAAAACAAGGATGGTATGTATGTAAGGAAGTAGGGATGGAGGTTGGTGGGTTTTGTCAGATTGATTGATGCCGTTACTTTTTTTTTTTGGGCCAATTCGTCAAGTATTTAAATAATCACAACATTATTTTGGACAGTTTGTCTATCGTACCTTTTTTTAAAAACTCTATGTTAAGAATGTGTGTGTGTGTGAGAGAGAGGGTAAGAAATGCCATCGCATTCATCGCTCCCCCAAATCTCACTGCGTAAAAGGAAAGAACAGAAATAGTAGTCGAGTATACTAGTCCGACGTTTTCCCGGTATGCGAAGAAAGCGAAGCAACGAAGCAACGTCACAAGTAAGGCAGAAATGTAGATTATTGTCAAGACGCAGTAGACAGTAAAAGAAAATGACTAGAAAATAGCCGCTGATGATGGGAAATGTTTCAGAAGCACACTTGCTAGGTAAGGATTCGCGTGCGTGTGTGGTTGTCTTTTTATTTTATTTTTGGGATCAAAAGCGTACAGTGATGGTATATGCATATATTTAGGGGCGAAGTAGTTTGCGACGGTGGACCGGATCGAGTGCTAGACTCGTCTGCCTTGCCGTTCAGCCCACGGGTTTGCCGCTAAGAGGGGCTAGGTAGCGTGGGCTGTGTTTCTAGGAAGAGAGGGCTAGCGCGCAGGCACATGATTTCGCGTCGTGTTGCTCGTACTCAATCCTCCACCCGCAGGGAGAAGTTTTTACCAGTAGGACTGGGGGGTTATGTATGCTGATGTTTTTGTGGCGAACACCGAGTATCAAAGTGAAACATGTCAGGATTTTTCTTTTTGGTGGCGGTGGCTCGGGATGTGGAGGTTGGGAGGGGAGATACGAGTATGCAGTCGAGTATGCACATGTGCGTGCAGATGGGGGCGGACATTTTGTTTCATGACGCGAAGGCCGTGGGCCAGGTTTGGAATCCAAGATGCCAAGATTCCAAGATGTGAAGCATGTTTTTAGTGGGTTGCAGTGCCCACAAGTCACGTGCCTGGCGTTGGTAGTGCAACGGCGCGTAGGACGAGTTTGACGGGGAGTTTGTTTTTTTTTTTTAAAAAAAGGCGGGAACTGCTCTTATCCCCGACGTGACACGGCTCCAGGCTGCGGCCGTTGTGTGAGTGGCTACGCGTTTCTTTTTGGACGGTAGTGAATACGAGTGGATTCGTCGGGCGGGCATGGTGATGTGCAACTGTACAACGTAGACTACTTGGTACAACGGCGTGCAGTACACAGTGGTTATGGGTGTAATGGTGCAGATGCATGTGTGCAGACATTGCTGGTGCCGATGGCGGCTGTCATCTGGCATGGTGTGGGATGAGTCGAGATGAGTCGGAGCGGGTCCCGGCATGTGCCGATGGCCCCCGCCGGTATTCGTCCGTGGAGGAGGGAAATGGTTCGGATCGCCAGAATTGCGGGTGCCGGCGCAGCGAATCTCCATGGCGGCCGATATGTAAGCGGCGGTTCCCTCGAGCAACAGCACCCAAGTGAATCATAGTGAATCATAGACGTCAGGAGAATGCCTCTCGATCAAAGCGCCCAACAGCATGGTACGACGAACGAACCGACGTCCAACCTGACCTCTACAGAGAGGTCCCATCCGCCTACACCAGCACCAGCACCAGCACGAGTCACGCACGAGGACGTCGACGCGGAACCATGACAGACGCCCCGTCGAGCGGGCCCCCGATCTCTCGTCTGCAAACGACGCACCGCAATCCTTCAGCCCTAGTCGGTGGGCGTGAGCAATGCCATGGGCCTAGCGCTCTCTCAACAGCTCCTCTGTCCCTGCATCCAACTAGGTTTGGTCCCTCGCTCGGCGACGCCCTTTTTTTCCTTCTCCCACGTCTGCTCCTGCTTTGGTTCGCCAACAGGCCTGCTATGACGTTGACACATGTGCATGTCGCCCTGGTCTGGCGCTCATCGAACAGCTGAATCGAGTAGCAATACCCTTGGCCGCGTCGCTTAGTTCCATCCTGAGCACACAGCGGCAGCAGCAAAAAGTGCCGTTGGAGACGCCGGCGGTATGGCGGTATGGCGGTATAGCATGTTCCATGCATATGTGCAATCTGCTTAGCCGCTTCGCCCTCGACTCTTGGGCCTCTCAGTTAGTTCTTGACCCACTCAACCCTTATCTCCGAATACCGAATCCCCTTCGGGCAACCGTTGCTTATTAGATCCTATTTTATTATATAGTTGTTGCCATCCTTTGCCCCGACACGTGCTTGCTGCCTGTCGTTTGCGCGGCACTAATTTCTCTCTCCTTCATCTTTTTTTTCCTTCTCAATATCCCACCACCCATTTCCCTCGGCACGACTGCCTTTTTCACCTCTGTAGCTGCGACGACTCCACCTCCCCCGGTTCCCTCGTTCACGACCCTTCAATTGACCCCAGGGCGCGCCCTGCCTGTTTCGCCTGCCATCATGGACGACCCCGGTGCGCGTGCTGCTCACCCACACGAGCATACCGAGGACCGCACCTTCGAGGCCATCCATACCAACCAGCACGATGACGCCAGCACAAACACCCCCTCCGTCAACGACACCACCGCGCGCAACTCCCCAAAGCCAGACGAAAAGGATACCATCCATGGCCAACACGGTGTCGATGTCTACCGCGCCGAAGCCGAATTTGCCCAATTGTCCAAAGAGCTCTCACGCACCAGCAACATGTCGCGCCGCATGAGTCGAGTCCAGAGCAGGCATAGTCGCAAAGATCCAGTTGCAGATGTCGAGAAGGCTGGCTCACAATCCTCGGATGAGCCTTTTGATCTCGAGGCAACACTGCGCGGCAATCGCGAGGAAGAAGAGAGATCCGGAATAAAAGCCAAGCGCATCGGTGTGATATGGGATGGCCTCACCGTCAGTGGCATTGGTATGTAAAACATCCCTTGCATCCATAGTATACACGATATGGAAACTATACGGCAAGATCGACGCTAACGGCTGCACAGGCGGTGTCAAGAACTATGTCAAGGTATGTCTGCCGTCAGCATCAGCCTTGGCTTCCAGATTAGATGCATTTGATGATTAACACGCCCCGCAGACATTCCCCGACTCGTTTGTGTCGTTTTTCAACGTCTTTGAGACTGCTGCCAGCATTCTTGGGCTTGGCAAGAAGGGCAAAGAGTTTGACATCTTGAAGGACTTCAAGGGCGTTGTAAAGCCGGGTGAAATGGTCTTGGTCCTTGGAAAGCCAGGCAGTGGCTGCACTACCTTTCTCAAAGTCATCAGCAACCAACGATACGGATACACAAAGATTGACGGAAACGTTCAATATGGCCCCTTTGACGCAGACTTTTTCGAAAAGAGGTATCGAGGCGAGGCTGTGTACTGTGAGGAAGACGAGAACCACCACCCCACCCTCACCGTTGGTCAGACTCTCGACTTTGCCCTAGAGACCAAAGTGCCGGGAAAGCGACCCGCCGGCATTTCACGAAAAGAGTTCAAGGAAAAGGTCATCGATATGATGTTGAAGATGTTCAACATCGAGCACACCCGAAATACCATTGTCGGCAACCCATTCGTCCGCGGTGTCAGTGGTGGAGAGAGAAAACGAGTTTCCATTGCCGAGACCATGATTACCGGTGCCTCCTTAATGAGCTGGGACAACAGCACAAGGGGACTGGATGCTTCCACTGCCGTTGACTACGCACGTTCACTGAGGGTCCTGACCAACATCTACCAGACTACCACATTCGTCTCCTTGTACCAAGCCTCGGAAAACATTTACAAGGTCTTTGACAAGGTCCTGGTTATTGACAGCGGACGACAGGTTTACTTTGGACCTGCAAACGAAGCCCGTGCTTACTTTGAAGGCCTGGGATTCCTGGAGAAGCCCCGTCAGACCACCCCCGATTACCTTACTGGTTGTACCGACATGTTTGAGCGTGAATTCAAGCCTGGTATGAGCGAGAAGGACGTTCCATCAACCCCTGAAGCTCTCGCCGAGGCCTACAACAAGTCCGACATCGCAGCCAGACTTGACAACGAGATGACTGCCTACAAAGCTCAGATGGCCCAAGAGAAGCACGTCTACGACGAGTTCCAAATCGCTGTCAAGGAAAGCAAGAGGCACGCCCCTCAAAAGTCGGTTTACTCTATTCCCTTCTACCTCCAGGTCTGGGCTCTGGCCCAGCGTCAGTTCCTGCTCAAGTGGCAGGACAAGTTCAGCTTGGTTGTCTCTTGGGTAACATCCCTGGCAATTGCCATCGTCGTCGGTACCGTCTGGCTCGATCTTCCAAAAACCTCTGCTGGCGCCTTCACACGTGGAGGTGTTCTTTTCATCGCTCTACTCTTCAACGCCTTCCAGGCATTCTCGGAATTAGCATCTACCATGATAGGTCGGCCTATTATCAACAAACATCGCGCCTTTACCTTCCATCGCCCCTCGGCTCTTTGGATAGCTCAAATCGGTGTTGATCTCCTGTTTGCCTCGGCGCAGATTCTCGTCTTCTCCATCATTGTCTATTTCATGACGAACCTGGTGAGAGATGCTGGAGCTTTCTTCACCTTTGTCCTTATGATCATCACGGGATATCTGGCCATGACCCTGTTTTTCCGAACGGTCGGCTGTCTCTGCCCTGATTTCGATGTCGCCATTCGTCTAGCCGCTACCATCATCACGCTGTTCGTCTTGACATCTGGTTACCTTATTCAATGGGAATCCGAGCAGAAATGGCTTCGCTGGATCTACTACATCAATGCCCTGGGTCTTGGTTTTTCGGCATTGATGATGAATGAGTTCAAACGCCTGGATCTCGCTTGCGTGGGAGCTTCGCTCATTCCCTATGGGTCCAACTACAACGACCTCAACTCCCAAGTTTGCACTCTGCCTGGCAGCAAGGCTGGAAACCCAATTGTTTCCGGTACCGATTACATCAAGACCTCCTTCTCATGGGATCCATCTGATCTCTGGATGAACTTTGGTATCATGGTTGCGCTCATTGTTGGCTTCCTTCTCGCAAACGCTTTCCTCGGAGAGTATGTCAAGTGGGGTGCAGGTGGCCGTACAGTGACATTTTTCGTCAAGGAAGACAAGGAACTCAAGGAGCTCAACGCTAAACTACAGGAGAAACGTGACAGGCGCAATCGCGGAGAGGCTGACAGTGATGAGGGTTCGGACCTGAAAGTCGCATCCAAGGCAGTCCTCACATGGGAGGACCTTTGCTACGATGTCCCCGTTCCTGGTGGAGAGCTACGTCTGCTGAAGAACATTTACGGATACGTCAAGCCTGGTCAATTGACAGCTCTTATGGGTGCTTCAGGTGCTGGTAAGACGACACTTCTCGATGTGCTTGCCAACCGCAAGAACATTGGCGTCATCACTGGTGATAAGCTTGTTGACGGTAAACCACCTGGCATCGCCTTTCAACGTGGAACTGCCTACGCTGAACAACTTGATGTCCACGAACCCACCACGACCGTACGTGAAGCCCTCCGCTTCTCTGCCGACTTGCGCCAGCCGTTCGACACGCCTCAGGCTGAGAAGTACGCATACGTTGAGGAGGTCATTGCTTTGTTGGAGATGGAAGATATCGCCGATGCCATTATCGGAGAACCTGAAAGCGGTTTGGCAGTTGAACAGCGCAAGCGTGTCACCATTGGTGTTGAGCTAGCCGCCAAGCCCGAGCTACTTCTCTTCCTGGACGAGCCTACCTCTGGTCTCGACTCTCAGAGCGCCTTCAACATTGTCCGTTTCCTCCGTAAACTGGCTGCTGCCGGTCAAGCCATTCTTTGTACCATCCACCAACCAAACTCTGCTCTTTTTGAAAACTTTGACCGCCTCTTGCTCCTCCAACGAGGTGGCACATGCGTCTACTTTGGCGACATTGGCAAAGATGCTCACGTTCTCCTCGAATACTTCCGCAGCCACGGTGCCAACTGTCCCCCTGACGCCAACCCAGCAGAATGGATGCTGGACGCTATAGGTGCTGGCTCTGCTCCCCGTATGGGTGATCGTGACTGGGCGGACGTTTGGAAAGACTCTGAAGAGTTCGCCGAGGTCAAGCGACACATTGCCCAACTCAAAGAAGAACGCATTGCTACCGTCGGTAGCGCCGAGCCAGTTGAACAGAAGGAGTTTGCCACGCCAATGTCGTACCAGATCAAGCAAGTTGTCAGACGCCAGAACCTCGCCTTCTGGCGCACTCCCAACTACGGCTTCACCCGCCTGTTCAACCACGTCATCATTGCTCTGCTCACAGGTCTCATGTACCTCAACCTCGACAACTCTCGATCATCTTTGCAGTACCGTGTCTTCATCATTTTCCAGGTCACCGTCCTTCCAGCTCTTATTCTTGCTCAGGTTGAGCCAAAGTATGCCATCCAGCGTACCATTTCTTTCCGCGAGCAAATGTCCAAGGCTTACAAGACATTCCCATTTGCACTCTCCATGGTCATTGCCGAGATGCCTTACAGTATCCTGTGCTCTGTTGCCTTCTTTCTCCCGCTATACTACATCCCTGGGCTCAACTCGGAGTCTTCGCGTGCAGGATATCAATTCTTCATGGTCTTCATCACAGAGATTTTCTCCGTCACGTTGGGCCAAGCGGTCGCTGCCTTGACACCTACTCCCTTCATCGCTTCCTACTGCAATCCCTTCATCATTGTGAGTTGACTTTGTACCAATGTTATGCATCACTGGCTAACTTCAACTTTAGATCATCTTCGCACTCTTTTGTGGTGTCACGATTCCCAAGCCCTCCATCCCCAAGTTCTGGCGTGTCTGGCTTTACGAGCTCAACCCTTTCACACGCTTGATTGGTGGTATGCTTGTCACGGAACTTCACGGCCAAAGTGTCCAATGTAAGCCCACCGAATACAACCAGTTCAGATCCCCCCAAGGTCAGGACTGCGGGTCATACATGAGCGATTTCTTCGCTAGCGATGGACCGGGGTACATTCGCGACAACCTGACCAACGTGTGCGAGTACTGCGCTTACAAGGTCGGCGATGAGTTTTACACTCCTCTTGGATATGATTTCAGCAACCGATGGAGGGACCTTGGTATCTTCATCGCCTTCGTCGTCAGTAACCTGGCCATTCTCTTCATTGCGGCCAAGTACCTCAACTTTAACCGACGATAAACGCAATGCGCCAAAGGGTATGTAATGTGTATGGGATTTCACGAGTAATCAGGATACGTCAGTGAACGTGACAAGTTGGCACGACTTGAATATGAGGATTCGCCGTGCTAGCATTGTGCATCACATGGAGTTGCATCCATAACTATAGCCATGTCGTCTCTGGATCTCGGTACATCGTCATTTCTGTTTTTCTGCATTGGAGGATCATTTAGCTACCAAAAAAGCACTGCCGTTGCATAATATAAAGGGTCACAGTTGGGACATGACATGTTCTCATCGGGTGGAGTTTGTTTATTTTTCCCCCCAGTCAGCGCGATTGTTTGCTGTGTTTAGTTCACACACACATACACACATATATATAGAATAGTTTTCAAGACATTAATACGTTATCCATTGTTTGACTGCATATAGATTAAAGGCGTTGAAATTCTCTTTGGCTAATCAGGGCTGGATCGCGTTACTGGACTGTCCGAGTTGCTCGTTTGGCTTGAACGTTTGCTTCCACGCACGCTGCTTTCCAGAACGAGCGGGACTTTCCAAGACAATAACATAGCTCCCGGTGTGAATAAAGAACTTGTTTCTTTTACTCCCCTAGTTTCTTTGCAATACTTGTGTACCGCTATACTACTATCATCAACTATCGTTGTCAAAACGACACAGATCGACACAACGCCTTTGAAAGCATTCTTTCGCTTTACACCATACATGTTCACGACATTGCTAGACTCGGAAAAACAATCATGCCGCTCATGCCTCCAGACATGCCAGCACATGACATTAGCCAAAACGCATTACGGCATTTTCCATACTCTGGCACTTCTAGCTGATGCAAACAAAACACCAAGCAACCCAAAGAAACGACCACACTCCCAAGTCCAACCTATTTCCGCACAACACACACCACGGAACCAAATCATTTCCCGATACCCCAAATCTAAGGCGTAGTCTCCGGTTTCTGCCGCGCTCACCCCGACACGCAGTCTTCACATTCACTCTCCTTCTCTAGTACCCCACCAACAACCCGCGATACCACCCTCCAAACAATCACCGCAAGAAACTCATCATCTTGCACATCAAAAACATCAAAAACAACACAATCATCCTATCCTCGCCCCCCCCCAATCTTCCTCTACCCCTTCTTCCCCATAGTCCCCCCACAGACAACCCTCGCTCGCACCCACACTCGCGCCCCAGAAAAAAACACCGCCACGCCCGCCCTCGCACCCACACAGTCCTTGGCCTGAACCCCATCTTCTCGCGCACCCCTTCTGCGCCTTAGCGCTCAGCCTCGCCCGGACAGCGCCGCTATGCCGTGTGATTTATTTTCCGCAACTTTTTTGCTCTGCCGAAGCCCCAAACATTCTCAGGCCATGGTGTAAAAAAACCCAAGGCTATAAAAAAAAGAAGCCGCAGCGAAACCATCGAAACGCGATGGTACGACCAGAAACATGCCAAATACGCTTCGTCGATGCTGCAAGATACGAATCACACGTGTGTGTGTGCAATGGGTACGCCGCTGATGGGCGAGCGTTGCGTGTACCTCTAGGTATATGGGCGGTATTGTCGCTGGAAGGATGCCGTGCTTGGGTCGTCGCGGAATCACTTTTTTTTGGTTTTGGATCAGCCTGTTGAGGGTGGAGTGCGTGTGGAGAGGGCGCGGGGGATGGGATGGAGATGGGGGATGGAGAGGAGGGATTTGTCGGGGGGGTACAAGTAGTGGATGTGGAGGCAAGAGCGTGGAAGAGCAGAGATGTGCAGAGTAGAATTTTGTCGGTTATGGAAAGAGAGGTTGAGATGCTGGAGGAGGAAGGGGTGGGTATGGCGGATGGGGGTTGTGGTTGCTGCGGTGGCGAGGTGGACAGAATAAGGATTGAAAGATGAAAAAAAAAGAGTGGGAAATAGGGGAAACGACAAGCAGGATTAGGAGAGCAAAAGATGATGATGAGGTTTTAACCGAGTTGTTTATTTCCTGTACTAAGCTACGTATGTGGGACAGTAGTAAACATGGTCACTGCGTCCTTGGGAAGAAGAAGAAGAAGAAGAAGACGAAGAAGAAAAAAATGGTATCATAGAAGACGTTACTTAAACGCTCCCTTTTTACGTCTTCCCCACGGAAAAGGAAACAAGATGTGAAAACGCCAACAATGCTCTCACCATTCAGGTTGAAAAGAAAAATTAATATGATTCAAATGTCAAAGTCTTTGCTCAGTAGCTCCTGCGCTTCCAGGTCCATTTTCTTGCTAATTAGACGCCCAGCTACCAGATCGCCGACTTTGTCTACCAGCTTTTCTCGCACTTCTTCAAGATTGGGTGCCGTGTATGTTCCTTCTCTCTTTGCCTTTTCGGCTCGTTCCCTGACGGCCTTTGGAACAAGAGCAGGGAAGGAACCAACGAGTACTTCGAGTAGTATCTCCGCATCATGGCGCGTGCCCTCATCGGCCAGCTTCTTGGCAAGGAAATCCTCACTGTACATTTTTATGTTGGGTAGTATCAATCCTCGGAGCGCATCAGAAGGACCAAGGACAAGAAGCAGAGCTTGCAAGGCACCAAAATGCGCGCCCACTGTTTTGTCAGGGTCCATGAATTGCTTTAGACACGTGCGGGCGATTCGGGACTTTAGTCCCTGGTTTGATGAAGAGTACTTTCTGCAAATATTCCGGAGAAGGTGTGCTGCAAGTGTTCGCAGGTAAAAGGCGTCAGAAGCAGCCCGGCTATAGTCGGGTACTGCCCCGCCCAGAGTCTCTGAAGAGGCATTCGAGGGCGCGGTTTGATTTGCTGGTCCTAGCTTTCCGCCAATGCAGCAAGTCAGGATAGGTGGGACCATGTAGGCAATGTATGGGTCGAGATAGATGGCCTGATTGTTTAACAAGGCCTCGGAAGCGCGCATCATTTGGCTGAGTATGAACAAGTTCTTCATATTGTGTGTAACCTTTTCGGCTATGAAGCTCAAAAGATATGTCGTCAGCTGATGGATGCCAGGCTCTGTCGAGATTGCGGCCAGGGCTGCATTCTGCCACTCAATGTTTGTTTCGTCAACAAGAGCGCCCGACAGCTTGTTGAACAGCTCCTGGGATTCCTTGGATAGCACATGCTTGACGAGGGGCTTGACGTTGACGTTGTCGAGCCCGTTTGCAGCGGCCAGATGTGGATTTGCGTTGGGGCCCTTGGGTAACAAGTCGGCAGTATTGGTATTAGGGTTCTGTGGTATAGAAGGCTGGACTCCCTCTACGGCGAGCCAGTGGGCTGGGCAGAGTTAGAAAATGGAGGACAGGGCAAGTGACGGGGCATGTAGCTTACCTGTGAAGGTGATTTCCCGTGGCACCTTGGGCAGGGGAGCGTTGATGAGCTTTTCGAAATCGACCTCCTCATCCTCGACATAGTACAAGGGCTGGCCAGGCCCCAGTGAAGCCTCGCCGAAGCGCAGCGGCCGGGTAGATTCGTAGCCGTAGAGAGGCTCCACATTGAGCACCTTGAGAGCATTGGATATGTCCTGTGTGCTCAGTGTTGTCCGCTTCCCGTGTCGCATAAACTTGAGCGCTTCTTCCAGGACCTGGGCCAGGCGAAAGTCGACGTCACGGGCTAGCTCTTCAACGACGTTGTCGGCAAGTGAGGCAATGCCTACTGATTCGGCCACGTCTCGCACATTGTCGGGGTTCCAGACTGAGGACATGATGGCAGAGTGTCGTGCGAGGCACGGAGGGAATCAAGCGGAACGCAGAAAGGGAGCCGATGGGAGGGCGGAGAGGGTATCACCGGGCGGGTGACGCAGCGGCGGAATTTGTGATTGTTAGCCCTACGACCCAGTGAAGCACATGCCGGACGCGCGCATGCGCACACAGTGGGAAGACGTCGCTGCGGAGATTGCAAGCTGTGTATCCCCGTGTTTCATATACGACGGCGCGATGGTGATGGGCGTAGTCGTGTTTTAGTGCTGCTACTGTAGAGAGAGGTGAATTGACCCGCCCCAGGTTTCGATTGGCTGCAAGGCGGGTCTGCGCGCGCAGAGGGAAGTCGCGATGGGTGACGGTCCTCGCGTCAGTCTTGGCGCGCCACTTGGTCGTTACGCCGGCCATCGTCTCCCTCACCACTACTACAGTACACACACGCCCACTCACCCGCCCCACCACCGTCCAACTTACACGCACACCTTCACACACACATGCCCGTTCACATTCACACCGATGGATGTAGTCGCTGCGTATGCACGCATCCATGTCAACAAGTGTGTAGGCGTGTGTAGAGCAACACCGCCCTTCAATTGGCCCGCTGTTTGCTTCACTTGAGAAATAGACAAACATTGCCGCTTCACCACGTGCTAGCCTCTGCCGGCTCCTGCGCCAGCGGCGTCAGAAAAGCGCGCCGATGGCGGTCCATATTGCCGTCCTTCTGGCCGGCCGCCTTTCCCGCTGATGATCCGATCCAAAGAGGATATCTCGCGTATCGACGAGGTCCTGGTCTTGTGTAGACCGCCATTTGCAAATGCTTCCGGGGAGGGAAAGCAAAGCTTACCCAGCACTGCCGTCGACTGGCTGTCACGGCTGCGGTCCGTCTTCCCCGTCGCCTCGTAGTCAAGCAGCAGTGCCCATCCCTGCTTACCGTTGTGCCACAATTGCTCAACTGTAGCTCGCCGCCACGTTGTTTCCCTTCCCTTCTTCAGGTTCAGTATCTGGCCCGTAACCCACAGACCTCTGCAACAGGCCAACATCTTGATTTGCCATTCGTGTTCTTGTTCTACCAAACTGCCTCAGCTTCAGCTTCACCCGCTGCTTCGGACTTGGTGCTGCCTGACGCCACCCGTGTATCCCGCCCGGCCCGCTGTAGCTCTGGTTGTCTTTTCCGTGGCTGTTTAGATACCCCAGCTCGACAGACTCCCGTGTAAGCCACTAGACAGTGCCTAGAGGTTTTGGATTGGAAGCGTAACAAAACCGCGCCTCAGACTATTTAACCTTGAGACTACTTTAGCGTTTTGTCCCGCACAACACACCTCCTCTTCTATTCATCCCAACCTTTATCGAATCATAATCTCAAGCTTTTTGTCCTGAATCTCAAACATCGCCTCTATCCACTTCGCCATCAATTCCATTCCTTTCACAATGGCCATGTTGAATCAATCTTTAACGGCCATAACGTCTGATCCCATCAATACACGCTCTTCCCATCATGGATCGAGTTTGGCTATCACAATGCCACCGCAAGACCGCTCGAGAGATGACCCTCCATCTCCTCCTCCTCAGCCTCCGCCTAGCCCAGCTCACTGGAGTCGCTTCGTCTCTGTAAGGTGGTATTCCAAGAAACATTGTATCCAGCTAATGCCCTACCAAGATTGACACACTGGCCCCACTTGACATCTAAGTTCTGGCTCAGTAATGTCAGCTCGGTAAGCAGCCGCTCTTTATCCATTTCGACTCTGTCTAACGTTTTTCCAAAAGTAAACTGCGATTTCTCACATCAGAATTTTCCATCGACAATAAATCCGCACCACCTTTGGATCGGCTACTCGTACTCCGTGCCTCACACCTTCACCGCCACGCCAGATTTTGTCAAGTATCCCGTCTCAGTAACATGGGTAGTGTAGGCTGATTCAGGTATGGGTTTTGGCAGCCTTGGACCTTTCTTTGTTTCACTTATCTAGGGTGTAATTTGGGTGTTGAGGCGTTCGGTTAAATGAGTAGCTGGGTGTATTCTTGCACAGCTCAAGTACGCAGACATGCCCGTTCGATTTCGTAACGTGCCGCCTAGCGGCGCCTTTCTCCCCAAAATACAAACATTTTCTACATGATGTTGCTTGTGTTCTGGTATACCTCGCTACTTGTCTCCCTGCTCTGCTGGAATAGATACAAGGGCCAATGGCCTAACAAACCCTGGTTAGTGGCAGCAGCGGATGAGCTAGTCTAGCAAAACCGCAGGCTCCACTTCGCGAGCCTGGGTATCTGATAATGTTCCGGTCAGAACATTACATAGTAAGACGACTAAGCCTGATTGCCATGCCCAAGTATTATCCCCTGGTGCTACACTCCACCTCGCTTACTGATTAGCGCGCACTAGTCGCGTGGTCTTTTCGGCTTTTCCAAATTCGAAAACCCAGACAGTGCGGCTCCACCCCAGTTCACTGTACACCCGATCAGATATACGTGCACTCTTTACAAGACAAGCATTTCCCCTCTCCTTGGTTGTCTTACGCAATCTGATTTATACTACAAATACACAAAAACCACGTTGTTTCCCGGGTTTTGCTGCGAGAGATATCTAGGTCTTGGCACGGGATCGACAAGTCCCCACTATCCGCCACCAGCGGTTACCCCACGGCATCTGCCACTTGGTAGCTCCTTTAAAAGAACACTCTTTCCTCACCTTACCTTCATTATTGGCCTTTTACCTCCGAACCGCACCGGAATCCTCCAATCACGTGCGGAATCATCATGGCCGCCAATGAGCAGGATACCACGGAACAGATTCTCCAATGGTACTCCAATCTCTACAGTCGCCGGGTCGACCTGGTAGGCGACTTCGCAGGGAGCGAGAGATTTCTCGTACACGGCGAATCACTCCTGCTCCAGTGTTTTAGCGACCCACATCTCGACTTCGACCCAGGCTACCAATTACTACACGCCTCGTACACTGTCGAGAAATATCTGCAGGGCCTCTTATCCCGCAGCTGCAACTTTCACATTGCTTTCTTTGACGAGCACCAAGAATTTTGTGTGCCTCAAGATGCCTCTCCCGCCATTAGCGAGAAGTATCTGCTCGCACGAGCAGCCATCATTCGTCATCTCAAGGTCAATCTGCCAGACGCTGTCCCAGAGACTGAAGTCCACACTTTCCCTTCAGTTTCTTCAGATGAGTTTGCAGAATACCTACGTGCTACCGACATCTACTTTGTGCTTTGTCACGATGGAGCTTCATTCACAGATCTCCGTAAGAGGATGTTACTACATAAGGACCTCGGCTCTCTTAAGGACGAGAACCCAAGTGTAAAGGGCCGTCATCAAAGCTATAAGTCATCATTCCGCACTTTTATCTACAGCATGATGCAGCGCGGCTACAGTGCTGCACTTGTAAATGGGCTTGAGTGGCAGGACACAAAGGTGGTCACAACAGTCTTGGAGCACGCACGTTCCCTGACTCTAGACGTCTCATCGGCAGTAAGTACATACTAAGCATGAATACTGCTATGTCTCATTCTGTGTTGTTCATTAACAAGGTGCTGACACAATCATAGAATCATAACCCTGAGAGGAATGTCACTGACATTGTCGATCTTTCTCACATGCGTGGATTCCTACAGACAATCAGGGAATCGTGTGATCGGCTTCTGACTGAGCGTGAGTATCTGACAGTGCTTGTCGCTTCGAAACTTTCAGCCTCAAACGCGAATCTGTCATCTATTCTACTCCAACAGGCGGCAGCCCTGTCAGAGCTGGCTTTGTCGGAGCGCATATTGGAACATCAAGAAATTCCTGAAGAGATCAACAACTTCATTCTAGAATTCTGTCATGAAGCGCGCAGGTTCATCAATAGTCCGGCATGGACAGAAGCTTTCGCCGGTCATCCAGATTGTGACTTAGCGGACCTTATTGACGGACGGTTGCTCGCTTCTTATGCCTGCAAGGCTTCGCCAAAGCCCAATGAGCACTTTGAGGTCCTTCTTAAAGCCACAAAAGCTCTGAACAATCTTGATATCCCATTGCAACCAAGCACGTCCTCTTCTGCAGAAGGCTCACCAGAGACCAGCAGTGATAATGAGGGCTTCAAATACAAGGTTCTTCCCTTCTCGAACGACGTCTTCGATCCTCACCTAGCCCCAATCCACCTTGACGTAGCTCGGTCGAGTGGAAAACCAGACCCGACATCGGCTACCATCTTTCGTGAGGTTACACATTGGCACAGCCAAAAGTCTTTGAACCAAAAGGCGAAAGTGGTCGTAGAAAAAGATCCAAAGATTGCGAAGAAAGCTCTTCGCCGGAACCAGTTTTTCATGGCTGAGATGACTTCATACGCTGCCAGTCTGACGAATGCTGTTGGTAAAGTTCTAGACCCAGAGACGATTACCCTTGGAGACAAAGCGAAGCCTGCATCATCGAACACCGAAAACAAAAGACCAAAACAAGTGCAGAGACAAAGCACCAAGAACATTAATGCCTCAAAACAAGCCATGCTGGACAGTATCGCAGCAAGCTCTAAGCGCAAAGATGAAGAGAATGCTAAGCAATGGTATCAGGCTTGGACAGTTTCTTGCGCAGGATTCGAAAAGCAGGTTGACCTGGCGTCTCGGTACAACAAAGCCAGGCAATATCTGGCGGACCGCAGCGAGGCTCAGCGTCAGGTTATTGGTGCAGATGTGCGCATCTACATGCTAAACGTTCTCCTAGAGATGTGGGTACGTTACTGCCGTGACAACGCGAAGGACAAGGGTCTGTATGTTGCAGCACTCTTATTCGATACTGCACGGACTCTCTGTAACCACGAGACTGTCACCAAGACCATTGCCATATGCCTCAAAGCTACTATTGATCGATTGAAGCTGCCGAAGCTTCAGGTGCCGTCAGCTCAAGGTGATCGGAAGCTGCCCTTTAAATTTGTAAGTTGATTGATGCCTATAGTAATTCTTAAATGTTCGCGTTGCTTGTATGGGATTGCATGATCCGAAGTGTTTTGCTTATTTTAAATTGCTGATGCTGACTTTGACAGGCATTGGAAGATACATTGGTGTCTGATCTTGCTTTGACGCTGTCCCCAGAAGAGTTCCAACTTCTCCATTGTGGACCTTACTTTGATAGGACGATTGACTCTGCTCCAGACTCTCGTGTACCATTCGAGCCAGACGCGTGGCAACGACGTGTGCTGGACGAGATTGATGCTCGGCGAAGCTTGCTTGTCATTGCGCCAACTTCTGCTGGTAAAACCTTCATATCGTTCTACGCCATGAAGCAAGTCTTGGAAGCTAACAATGAGGATGTCCTGGTCTATGTTGCACCAACAAAAGCACTTGTCAACCAGATTGCTGCCGAAATTCAAGCTCGATTTTCGAAGAATTACAAGTACAGCCAATCTGTATGGGGTATTCACACACGAGATTACCGTATCAACAATCCCACTGGATGCCAGATTTTGGTAACAGTACCCCATATCTTGCAAATCATGTTGTTGGCGCCCAGCAATGCCAAGGGTTGGTCTGAAAGAGTCAAATGGATTATCTTCGATGAAGTTCACTGTATTGGGCAAGCCGAAGATGGCCTGGTTTGGGAGCAATTGCTACTCATGGCTCCTTGCCCTATCATCGCTCTTTCTGCGACGATTGGTAATGCGGAATCTTTCAACGACTGGCTCTCAGCTAGTCAAAAGGCCGCTGGTAATGAGCTGGTGATGGTACAACATCCACACAGATATTCTGATCTTCGCAAGTTTGTCTATACGCCGCCTCCGAAGCGTGACCCAGCGAGCTATTTGCCTCTTCCGGCTAACCGGTCATTCGCTCAGCTCGGTCTTGATGAGCATGCAGACTTTGCATTCCTGCATCCCGTTGCCAGTTTGATAAACAGGAGCCGAGGCCTTCCCAGCGACCTGTCTCTCGAAGCCCGGGACTGCCTCACTCTGTGGCAGACTATGTGCAAACATCAAACTGATGAGTACCCTGTCGATAAGTCACTCGACCCCTCTAAAATTCTCCCTACCATCATCAAGAAGGCAGATATCATCAAGTGGCAAGATGGTCTCAAGAAAATTCTCACCGCTTGGATGGCGGATGAGGCATCACCTTTTGAGAAGGTACGCAGTGACCTCAGCAGTTCCATCAACCGTATCCAGGAAGCATTGCCCACCGATGAAGTCAAGGAAGACAGTGCCGACAACAACGGGGAGGTGGATGAACTAGGAATGGAGATCAACCATGACATTTCCAGCATACTACCACTGCTAGCTGATCTGCAGCAACAAGATGCACTTCCGGGTATCATCTTCAACTACGACCGTGCGATTTGCGAGAAGATGTGCCGAACGCTTATGAAGCAACTTGTAGATGCCGAAGTTGCCTGGAAGGAGACAAGCCCTAAGTGGAGAATCAAGTTGCAACAATGGGAGGACTGGAAGAAAGAGGTGCAGAGACGAGAGAAGCAAGGTCTTCGTGGAGATGCTTCCAAGGGCATGACCAAGCAAGACCAAATGAAAGAGGCTGCTAATGTTGAAGTCAGCGCTTTTGCCTCATTTGATCCTAACAAGCCTCTTGATGGATTTCACTTTGCCGATCATAAGAAGTTGTCTCAGGAAGAGTTCGCTGTACACGCGAAGGAGCTACGTTACCGTGGTGTAGAGGAATGGCTGATCGATGGCCTTATGCGTGGAATTGGAGTCCACCACGCTGGTATGAACAGAAAGTACCGGTACTGTGTCGAAATGCTTTTCCGCAAGGGCTATCTACGTGTGGTCATTGCCACCGGTACTCTGGCCTTGGGTATCAACATGCCGTGTAAGACTGTAGTCTTCTCGGGAGACTCTGTCTTTTTGACAGCTCTCAACTTCCGCCAGGCAGCCGGTCGTGCCGGCCGTCGTGGTTTCGACATGCTCGGAAACGTCGTCTTCCATGGTGTGGCACTCAGCAAGATTCACAAGCTCATCAGCTCACGACTACCTGATCTCAACGGTCACTTTCCTATAACCACTACTTTGGTTTTACGGTTGTTCACCTTGCTTCATTCATCAGGGAATGCGCCTTTTGCTGTCCGTTGTGTCAACTCCCTGCTATCACAACCGCGACTGTATCTGGGCGGCGAGGATGCGAAGATGACGGTGCTCCACCACTTGCGATTTTCTATTGAGTATCTCCGCAGGCAGTATCTCCTCGATGCGCAGGGTACCCCCCTCAATTTTGCTGGCGCTGTCTCACATCTCTACTTCACAGAGAACTCATCATTCGCATTCCATGCGCTACTGAAAGACGGATACTTTCATGAGCTGTGCGCCAAGATCGACACAAACAGGGAGCAGGTTCTACGTGAGCTCATGCTCACTATGTCGCACTTGTTCGGTCGAAGATACTGTAGGCAAGCAGACGAAGAGTACGTCCAGGAAGTGGTCAAGAAGAGCCCGTCAATTGTGTTCCTACCAGCAATGCCAGAGACGGCCTCCAACGTCTTGCGCCGTCACAACAAGACTACGCTCGACATATTCACAGCCTATGTGCGTACATTCGTCGACCAGCATGTACAACATCCAGACAACACTCTGCCCCTGACCGAAGTCACCGTCGGCAGCAAGACCCCAAGTTCCGATGTGACCCAGCCCCCAAACATCAAGGCTCGCTCCACCTTCGTCGCCCTGTCTGGCTACGATGACAAATTCGAGTCTCTTCACGACCTCTGCTCCACCAGCCGTTCCGGCGTCTTCCTCGAAGAAGCCGTCGTACCCCACGTCGGTCTCTACCCCGAAGACTCCGAACTCCCGCTGAACGCTTACCTCTACGACTTCTTCCAGCACGGCGATGTCGAAGCCCTGATTAAAGCCAATAAGATCCGGCGTGGCGATGTCTGGTTTGTCCTCAACGACCTCAGCATGACCCTTGCCACCATCACTACCAGTCTCTCCAGCTTCTTGGGTCTGGCCACCGAATCCGACCTCGACTTCATCGACGTCCGCGGTGGCGGCGACGACGAAGAGGAAAACCGTGAAGACAAGATGCTGCCCAGCGATACGGCCACAGAAGCTAGTGCCACCACCGCTGGCTCCTCGAACAAGGGCGCATTCAAGCAGGAAGTCACTATCCAGCCGAAGAAGAAGGCCAAGAAGAAGGTCGAGGAGAGCTGGGAGGATGAAATGGGGAGTGAGGAGGAGGAATCCGAGGTCGAAGAGAGTTGGGATGCTGAGGAGGATGAGGATAAGGAACCGCCTGCGTGGGAGGAAGGAGAGGGCTTGCTGAATGTGCTCAAGGCGTTCAAGGCGCTGAAGGAGGAGTTTGATATGAAGTTTAGGGCCATGTGGGCTTAGTTGGGTTGGAGGTTAGAGTGGTGGCGGTGGGTGGACGCGAGTGGAAGGTGGACGGATGAGACGGGAGAGAGGAAAGCGGAGGCAAGGAGAAAAGTTGGAGCATCTTATTGTGGGGTTTTTTTATGAAATCAAGACTGTATGTAGATGATTATGACGAAGAAGGAAAAAAAGAATGTATGAAATAGATGATGACGAATAAAAAAGAATGTATGGAAGAGGTGTTTGGGAATTGCTACAATCTGTGTAGGACTTGTGTAAAATGTCTTCGTAACACACTTGGCGTTATCAACACCAGACTGAACATATATACCAACTATCATTCCGGGAGCCTGATCTCTACCGAGGCGTTCAGTATAACGAGAAGTAGCACATCAGACAGTCACAAGAAACCATTTTCTATCTCGACTTTGCAGTAAAATCAAGTACAAATGGGTAAAATTCTTTCAACAACGCCAGCGAAGAGCGGTTGGTGTATCTAGCATACGCATACGCTGATGGTAACAGCAACGCAAAAAGCAACAACGAAAAATTCATAAAAGCCCATGCTGTCCACTCAATAGACAGCGGCAGCAAACTCTAATCGCGATATCGTCGCTTTAGAATTCGCCTCCACCTCCACCCAAAGCAGCAGCGCCCCAAATACCGACCAAGCCCCAAACACCGACTCTCCAGCCTCTCCAGAGACCATGCACGCCCTGACCCTTCCTTGTACGCGGCGGTCGCGAGAACCCCATTGCCTTTGCGCTTGCTGCTTTAGCCGCGCTAGGACCCGAGACTGAGATGCCTTCCTCACGGACAATGAACCACAAGGTACCCAGGACGCCTCTGTACTGGCCGGGGTCCACAATAGTATCGAATCCGTTGTCGTTACTTGGCCTGTCCAGACCGTAAGCCGGGCTCTTTGAGCGGCTGGGTGGGGCCTGGTATTCTTGTGCGATCCGCTGTGCCTCGTATTCTTGTAGGACGGCGACCTGGCCGCGGCGGAGAACTGTCTCGAGAGGGAGGCGGATGAAAAGTTCAGCAGTGGAGGAGAGGAAAGTGCTGAAGGAGTAGGTGGCAGGGGTGAGGATGGGGTCGATGCTTAGTGTTGAGCGGAGGAAGAGAGGGGTGGATGAGGAGACAAGGGTGGGCACGCAGGCGTGCATTATGGTTGCGGGGAGGAGAGCGGGGGAGACGGAGAGAGAGGGGAGGAGGGAGAGACATGGGTATATGGAGCGTGGGGAGGAGGAGATGGGTGTGATGATCAGGCGTGTTCGCACTAGATCGAGGGGTGCGAGGAGGGTGGCGGCAATGGCTGTTGCCGCTACAGCGACGCCGAGGGATGTCAATGGGTTAGGGCTGTCGAGCACATCGAGACCCCCGATGCCACTTCCTGCTGCCCCCACGAGCCCGGGGTCTGGTATGTTGAGCAGCGCTGAGATCAGACTTCTAAACCAGCCCTCAGTCGTCTTGAGCAGGAAGTTGTAGATGAAGGTACAATTTGTGCCCTTCCACACTCCCCAAGCCGACTCTTTTTGCCATAACTGCCCTATTACTTCGAGAAGAGAGTCTGCCCGCTTGAGTTCTAGTTTCCTTAGCGATGATGGTGGGGGTTGAGTTGGTGTCCGCGAGGGGGATCGACTATCGAGTCGTCGATGGCGCCTCCGTGGGGACCTCGATGGCGAGTCGTTGGGCGAGTATGGCGAAGTGGGGTTCACGCGTGGTGCTGTTGTGGTGAAGTATCCCGGAGAGTCCTCGTCAGACTCTTCATCTGAAGGCGGAAACTGCACGGTCATTTAGCCCACATTCACATGTCAGACTGGGGTGCCATTGACAGAGTACCTACATCTTCAAACTTTCCACTGGCAAAGCTCCCTGGCCCTCTCTTGTGGCCCCATTCACCAGCATCCTTGAGTGCGGAAAGCTGTCCCTTGGCCTCGTGGATCTGCAGTATCGTCTTCGCTACTTCGAATGGCTGGGCAAGCAGCACGCTCGTGTAGTTCCACAGCGCATGATCCAGCAGCTTCTTTGCATGTCCGGCTATTGTAGGCGATGTCTCTGGAAAGTACGCATCATAGTCGAGATCTGAGAGAATGTCGCGTGCCTGGCTGCCCAAACTCGATTTGTTGCTGGGGGCAGGCTTGAAAGCGGGCGGGAGTGGTGACGAGACGGTCTGGTTCTGCGGAACCTCTGGAGGCGGGCCAATGGAAGGTGGGATGTAGTATGGCCGGAGGGGGTTTGGGGCATCGCGTGAGGAGGCCATGGTGAAGGCGGGGTATGGGGGAGAGGAAGGGCCTTATGGTGGTGCCCGCTGTCGGTTTTGTTTTGTGAGTGCTGGTGGTGGATGCATGCGCTTTCAAAGAGAGGGACCAGGGTGGGGCGGTCTGTGCTGCCAACATTTCGTCGTCGACGTCTCACGGCATTCGGATTTATCGGCGGCTTCATTTGTTTCTACTTTTATCCCAGCAAACACTCGCTCTTTTGCGCACTCCGCCCCTTAAGCTCCGCCATCTTCTCAATTGAGCGATCACATACACCCGCAATGGCGGCGAATCGAGCTTGCTGGATGTTGGCCGAGGGGCGGATAGCAGGCGCGAGAAGCGCCTTGTCGACTCCACTGACATTGTCCAGCCATTGGGCGCCCATGGCATGCCGGAGAGGGATGCACACGCAGAGGGCGGCCACGTCTCTACCATGGCAAATCAAAGTAGCCGCTCCAATAAGTCCCTCATGGCTGCGAAACAGCCGACAATTCTCCGCCAGTCATGCACCCCGCCACGGTCACCTCGACCCTCCTAAGCCTGGGGAAGAGTGCGTCTTCACCGTTTACTCTTGACTCACAGACCCGGTCGCTAACAGTACCAGACGAAAGGTCACATTCATAGACAAGGACGGCCATTCCTCGACCTTTGAAGTCGCCGATGGCGACAATCTCCTCGACATTGCCCAAGCAAACGACATAGAAATGGAGGGCGCCTGCGGAGGCTCATGCGCCTGCTCGACCTGCCACGTTATTGTCGAAGACGAGGCCTACTACGAAAAGATGGAAGAGCCCGACGATGACGAAAACGACATGCTTGACTTGGCTTTTGGCCTCACTGAGACGAGCAGACTGGGTTGCCAGGTCAAGATGAGCAAGGAGCTAGATGGGCTGGTAGTTCGGTTGCCGAGCATGACAAGAAACTTGCAGGCCAGTGATTTCGAGAGCAAATGAGCGCTCAAATTATGTTGAATCTAGGTCCGTTTGATCGAGATGTGGGATGGGATCTAGCAGTGATTGATTTGGTGGTCCCAGCTTAAGTGCCAGATACGACGCTGAGTGGCATTTTTTCGGTTCTTCGTACATACGCAACATTTGGTACAAAGCATGTATAACATAAACACTCCGCTTGCATATGCACTAGCGTAGAGGACGACTCGGAAAACGCTTGTATAGTATATGGTATCATGAACATTCTAAATAACCCTTGTTTTGCTTTTATACTTCGATGATTTGCTCCTTCTTCTGCCCTCCAGTGAGCATGTCGAGAAATCCTTGCTTGCTCATCTCCTTGACCTTCTCCTCCCTCTTGTCCATACCGACTACCATGCCCGCCTTGCTTTCTCTCTCGGCTTGTTCTCCCTTGACCTGAGCCGCCCTCACTGCGTTGAACAACTTGATCACACCCTTTTGTGCCGTCTTTCTGAGCTCCCTCTCCTTTGTCGATGTCGCTTCCGTGCTGACGCTGGGGTCATTCAGTCCCAGAACATCCCTAATGCGGCCCTTGTCCCGCGCAGCCTTGCGCTCTGCAATTAGTTGACGGCGCACCTTCTCAGTAAGCTTCGCGTCGGCAAGCTCGCGGTTCGCTGTTGCCGCATCTTTCGAGCGCGACAAAATAGGCTCTGTTCGTTTTGACGTCGACAATTTCGAGCCCAAGATTCTCGAGATGGAGTTTGCAAAGGCCTCAGGGTCGTTGCGCTTGCGGACTTTGCGCGCAGCAGCGGTAGAGGTTTCGGAGACGGAAGAAGCTTCTGAGGCGTCAGATTCTGAGTCGGCAATGGAAAACTCGTCGGCTTCAGGTTCAGAGTCGTCTTCGTCGTCATCTTCGGCATCGCTTGGTAATGGGGCTGTATGGTCGACGGGAGCCGTCTTCTTCAGCGCAGACTTTACAGGCGCCTTTGCTTGTATGCTGGCTTTGAACTTGGGCTCAGGTTTCTTCGATGGCGCGGCATCCTCTGCTTCATCCTCATCGTCGCTGGCTGAAGATTCCTCTGCCGCGGCTGCTTGTTGCGCTGCCTTTTTTGCCTCGAATTTTGCTTGCTTCCTCAACTGCTGCTTAGAAAGTTCCGGTCTTCCTGGAAGAGTCGCATTGGCGCCCGAGGGCTGGAATGGCTCGTCTGGTTCTTGGCTGCTTCCTCGTGCTGGAGCGTCGCGCGCAGCACCCTCTTCTTCGTCGGACGAACTATGGTAGTGCTTTTGCTTCTTGATCTTTCTCTTCTCCTTTTTGGGTACCTTGCCTCTGAGCTGGTCCTCGGTCCGTCTCCGCTTCAAAGATGTGTTGACCATTGTGGCTGTAATTGCGTAGATGTTGGACGTTGAAAGGCACCGCGCGGTCGCAGAAAAAAGTTCCAGATGATCGGCGTTAGGGGAGCCAAAAGGCCGACGGCAGGGCAAAGCGCGCCCCGCCATGCTTGCATTCCCCACAGAACACCGCGAGAACATCACCGACCACCCCCCACGCCTTACATCCCCATCTCTCTAATAATTTCCCTACGCAACCGCTGCTATGGTGCTCCAAGATCTCGGGCGGCGCATCAATGCCGCAGTCACAGACCTCACGAGGTCGCCCAATCTCGACGAGAAGGTGCGCACTTGACAAAACAGCAATACCTAACAGGTGGCTAATATGCGGAAGGCTTTCGATTCCATGGTCAAGGAGATCTCCAACGCCCTCGTCGAAGCCGATGTCAATGTCAAACTTGTCATGAATCTGCGACAGTCGATAAAGCGCGCCGTCGACTTCAAGCACCTTGCGCCCGGCGTCAACAAGAAGCGCCTCATTCAAAAGGCCGTCTTTGATGAGCTCGTCAAGATGGTTGATCCGCATGCCGAGCCTTTTAAGCCGAGAAAGGGAAAATCAAACGTCATCATGTTTGTTGGTCTTCAGGGTGCGGGTAAAACGACAACATGTACAAAGCTGGCGAGATGGTACCAGGCAAGAGGGTTCAAGGCGTGTCTGGTCTGCGCAGATACATTCCGTGCCGGTGCATTTGATCAGTTGAAACAAAACGCTACGAAAGCAAAGATCCCATACTATGGTAGCCATACGCAAACGGATCCTGTGGTAGTAGCGGCTGAAGGTGTGGAGAAGTTTAAGAAAGAGCGCTTTGAGATCATCATCGTGGATACCTCCGGACGACACAGGCAAGAGAAGGACCTGTTCGACGAGATGGTGCAAATTCAGACTGCCGTCACGCCCGACCAGACTATCATGGTACTGGACGGAACTATTGGTCAGGCTGCTGAATCTCAAGCTCGCGCTTTCAAGGAGGCAGCAGACTTTGGAGCCATTGTCATCACCAAGACCGACGGTGCGGCAGCAGGTGGTGGTGCTATTTCCGCAGTCGCAGCAACACATACCCCTATTGTCTTCCTCGGTAACGGTGAACACATGTTGGATCTCGAACGCTTTGCCCCGCAAGCCTTTGTTTCCAAATTGCTAGGAATGGGCGACGTACAAGGTCTTGTCGAGCACGTCCAATCACTCAAGCTCGACCAAAAGGACACAATGAAGCACATTACTCAAGGCATCTTCACTATCAAGGATCTCCGCGACCAGCTCTCCAATATCATGAAGATGGGTCCTCTCTCCAAGATGGCTGGCATGATTCCTGGACTAAGCAGCATGATGGGAGGCATGGACGATGAAGAGGGTGGCGCCAAGCTTAAACGTATGATCTACATTTGCGATAGCATGACTGAAAAAGAACTCGAATCCGACGGCAAGATGTTCGTGGACCAGCCGACTCGCATGACCCGTATAGCCCGTGGCTCAGGCACGTCAGTGCGCGAAGTTGAGGAACTACTCACACAGCACCGCATGATGGCAGGCATGGCAAAGAAGATGAAGGGCGGCATGGCCAACATGCAAAAGGCACAGGGCGCCATGGGCGGCGGAAACAAGCAGCAACAACTCGCCGCCATGCAGAAGCGCATGCAGAGTATGGGTGGCGCAGGAGGCATGGGCGGAGCGGGAGGTGGTATGCCGGATCTCGGAGCTATGATGAAGATGCTTGGCGGCGGACGAGGAGGTGGAGGCGGCATGCCGGATCTCTCGGCTCTTGGAGGTATGGGCGGCATGGATATGGGTGCTATGATGAAAATGATGGGCGGCATGGGCGGTATGCCTGGAATGGGCGGTGGTGCCGGTGGTGCAGGTCAAGGCAAGGGAAGGAGATAGTAGCCCCCCTACTTTTTTTATCCAGATGGTATGGATTTCTGAATTTGGATGCATAGCCACGGCGTTGGGGGGTGGGGAGTCTACTATTCACCACATGGGTGCTCGTGTTCATAGATGTTTTGTGTATACGGGATTGATTTGGTACGTGAGTAAATTACGAAGATCTGGGATCAATAGATCATATTTGCTGCTCACTTATGTATGTCATATTTCCCAACACTCTATACCGTCTATCCCGTCTATGTATACTCTCTAACCCATCTATACAACTTTCCCCTCCACTCTATCCTCTCCAAACACAAACCCCAACTCCTCCAACGTCCTAACCTCCTTCCTCTCCTCGCCCCTAGCCCCGAACGCCTGTCTAATCTTCGGAAAATGCTCTCGACACCAAAACTGCCATTCTCCCCAAACCGGTGGTTTCTTGCCTTTCCCCCCATTTTCCAATCCTTCCTTCTCCACCGCTTGTGCTGCCCAAGCACTCATCTCATTGATATACTTCCCGTCCTTTGGGAAGTTCAGCAGATGGAAATTTCGGCCTGAACCCATCTCTTCTTCTACACTTTCTTCCCATGCGCGCATCGTCGAAAGAGGGGGTAGATCAAGACGACCGGCATACACGCGCGCGAGCACCGCAGCCTGTGCTTCTGCAATAGGAAAAGGGATTACACGCTGATTCAGCGCTAGGAAAGATAAGCTTGGTCTCGGGGCGTAGAATAAGTGCTGGAATGTATGGTTAACCTTTTCCCCCGTAGTAATCAGTTTTGGCTCGACGGATTCCAGGAACGGTAGGCTGTAAAAATACCCCGTAGCGAAGACAATGGCGTCAATGTCGTGGGCTTGAGATCTGTCTGCGAACTCAACACCGCGGGTTGATGGCAAGAAGCGGCTTATAGGAGGTACCTCGCGGCGTCGATTGTCGGCTGAGGCGGCGCCGTGGGTTGTGCTGAAAAGGGATTGGGAGCGGGTGGACCAGAGGAGGGGGAGGGTGCAAGTAGAGGCGATTTGAGCGCTGATATCGGCGCCGGATGCAGAATTGCCAATTACTATTACTTTTTTTGAAGTGAAGTCTGAGGCACGGCGGTAGTATTTTGAATGCGTGATTCGACCTGGGTGGTGGGCTGCCCAGTCTTGGATACCGGGAATGGAAGGGATGGAGGGGACGATGAAGTGGCCGTTTGCTACTATGACGGCGTCATAGATTTCGGAGGTGGACTTGTTGGTTAGGAGATTTTTGGTCGTGACGGCCCATGGGCTGGCGGGGTTGGTTGGGTCGGTGGGAACGACGTTGGTGACTTGAGTGCAGTATTGGACTATATCTTGGACGTCGGCGGAGTATTTTTCGATGTATTTTAGGACTGTTTCATGTGTAGGGAAGAGTTGGCTGTCTGATGGCCAGTCGAGGTCTTGGAAACCCATTAATCCACGTGGGATGTTGGTTTCGAGTTTTTCGTATATTGGCGATAGGAAAGAGGGAACCTTGGATATAGTTTCGGCGCCGTTTTTTTCAACATCCCCGTTGGTAGCCTTATCTTTAGGCTGCCACTCCGGTTTCTGAAAGTCCTTGTTCGGGTTGGTCTGGGGTATGTCAAAGAGGTTTTCGTCTCGCTGCTCGCCAGTGTAGATCCATATTCCCCCAGGTCGATTTCTCTGTTCGAACAAGACAATTTTTTCGAATGCCTTCTCGGCTCTCAGGTACTTTGCTGCTATCACGCCTGAAGGCCCAGCACCTACTACCGCTACTGTCCTTGCTCTAATCGATATCCTATCTGCATCGGAAGTCATGGCGTTGGGTTTGGGTTCCGAGTCGTGGAAATATCGCACAAGGTGCTGGAGGGAGGGGCCAATAGAACGGTGGGCACTATGCTGGTGTACAGGGTATCCCCGCAACAACCAAGTAAGCATACGTAGGAACGCTGTCGTAATCAAGACCAGACGTTGATGCGATGGTAGCGACAGAAAGAGGAAGGTTCCGACGCTGGTCGGAATGATGTCGGAACGATCTGCTGAGCTGATCACCGTGATGGCAAACAAATGGTCTAACCTGATGGCCGGCACTACCCCTCTCAACCCTGGACCTATGCTCAGGCTTAGCTTGGGTTACTTGAGTCGCGGCATTTTAGTCAACATCCCAGTTGACAAGATACGTACTTGAGATTTGGAGCAATGCTTCGCACATTGTCCCTCGCACGTTTCCCCGTCGCATCAAGAGCTCAACCCCTCCGCGGGTTCTCCATCAAAGCGACAACCATGGCACCACTACGAGCTGGCTTTGTGCCCGGTAGGCTTCAATAAAGAGATGGGAGGCTTTATTACTAACTACTCAGAGCACTTTTGCACCCCACTAGAGTTTGCAAAGAAGCACCACGGCCTCGATGTAGATCTCATTCCTTTTCCTTCTGGCACCGGTCACATGGTCACCGCCATCCAGGCTGGTGAGATTGATCTTGCCGTAGGCCTGACAGAAGGCTGGATCTCAGCACTAGGCAAAGCACAAGCTGCCAAACAAGATGCAGGCTTCAAGATAGTCGGTACATATGTTGAAACGCCACTATGCTGGGCCATCTCAACTGGGGCGAAGCGGGATGAGCTCAGGGGCGTTCAAGACTTGAAAGGAAAAAAGGTGGGTGTTTCAAGGATTGGCAGCGGAAGCTATGTGATGAGCTTCGTGCTGGCAGACCAGCAGGGCTGGCTGAGTGCATCCTCCGGTAGCCCTCCGTTTCCTGTGGAGATACTCAACACGTTCAAAAACTTGCGCGATGCCGTCAATAGCGGTACAGCAGACTTTTTTATGTGGGAGCACTTCACCTCGAAGCGTTACTACGACAACGGAGAGATCAAGCGCATTGGCGAGATCTACACTCCCTGGTCGTCGTGGAAGATTGTTGCGGCAAACCATCTTCTCACGCCAAAGCGCGGCAGTAAGCCTTCACTCGCTCCAGAGCTGGAGGATGTACTGGAAAAGGTGAACAAAGGCGTCAAGCACTTTGAGGAAAATGTGGAAGAGGCTATTAAGTTTATCATCACGAAGCTCGACTACTCGGAAGAAGACGCCAGGGAATGGCTGAAGACTGTAAAGTTCTCACAGCAGGTTAAGGGTGTCGACAAGGCGGTTGTTGAAAAGACAGTTGGAATATTGCAGAAAGCTGGTGTATTAGGCAAAGACGTCGATGAAGCAGACATGATTGCACTCGAGCGTGTCGAAAACTGAGTCTTTACTGTGGAATCTCACATAGAACCCAATGCTTTGAAGTCGCTCGTTTGAAACATAAAAGAGCTTACTGCTTTTTCGGGTGTACCAATCAAACAAAACTTTGAATCAAGAGCTCACTTTCACCGGGTAAACGCGATGTTGTGCATTCCAGTGACAACTACATTGTTTGTAACGTTTCAATGTTAGTCAACAACAGTAAACGCGACAAACTAGATTCATTACGACTGCCCAGCTTTGTTATATTACACAAAGAATAGAAATATACACATATAATCCTCCTACCTCTTTCTTCCTGACAACAGGGTAGTCACCCATTGATTGACTACACATACTGTAGAAATTCCCTGAACCTATCCGAATACGGTCTAGGACCGATAAAAGAAGTAGCTAGTTACTCTAGACCTTGAATTCCAGCTACAAAGATGTCAGAAAACGAGAAAGAGCTGAGTTTATCCTTTCTAGACGGACAATCACACATTCGCACATACGGCCGCTACTATATCGTATTCCCTTTCCCTGACACAACACGCGCAGATGAAGCTATCAATTCACTCCGCATAGGCTTCAAGGAGGTGTTGAAGCAATTCCCTTACCTTGCTGGAACAATAAATATGCCATTCATCGCCAGTGATTGTCTTCAGACACTTTTCCCCGATCCTATCGACCCAGAAGCAGAAGCGGTTCGCATTTTCACTGTAAACTTAGATGAGACCACCAACACCGATTATCACTACCACACTCTGAAAAGGACGTATTTCTCACCAGAGAATCTTCCTTCGAAGGTCTTTTGCCCTGCTTCGATTAACAACCATCCTGGGCTAGATGATGATGACCCATATGCAGAGCGAATGACTAGTCTTAAGAGGGGTCCACTGCCTGCTTTTGCTGCTCACGCAACGTTTATACCTGAAGGCCTAGTCCTCAGTATTTGGTTTCATCACGCTATCACTGACGGATCTGGCAACGCGAGAATCCTAGAGGTGTGGAGTGCGGCTGTGAAATCTTTGACTAGATTCACTCAAGAAACAGAACCCAGTAAGATCAGCTCAAAGCCAATCACAAAGGATGGTGCTATAGATGTCAATCTTGCTAGGGGTGACCTCGCTCCCCTTGCACGAAAGTTGAACGTTGAGCCTACCGATCCACAGGTTGAAAAAGTACTTGGACGTACAGCAAATCCACTTCATGAGCTGCCATACAAAGTTGTCACAAAGATGTTTCGCTTCCCAAGTTCAGTCATCACTAGCCTCAGTAAAGCCATGTCTCAGCACACAGAGAAACACATAACCCACTTCGCTTCCCTAGCAGGAGTCGTCTGGGCCAACATCATCCAAGCCCGCCTCCCAAAATTTATCGAGGTCGGCAACACCAAATCAACCTTAGCCGTGATTGTCGACCTCCGAAAACATCTCCCTGAGCCCTTCTCATCCTCTGACTACCTAGGAAACCTAGTAGCCTCCAGGATGCCCACATGGGACCTTTTCAAAAGTGGCAATAGCATCACATGTCAAAACATGTCGGTACAAACCGACTTCGAAGACGAAGTAGAGCACGACATGCTCCTCCCCATCATAAGCGTCGCCCGCCTCCAAATCAACATCCAGAATCTCGCCTCTTTCATCACAGATATCGACGACGCTGTCCACGGCGTCGACGAAAAATGGATTGGCAGGAAATTCAATCAGATTCTCGCTGATCCCACCCAAATCGATCAGTCGTGTCTCAAATTCACTAACGGTCCTGATCTCTATATTACCAGCTGGCAGCACATGGGCGCTGATCACGAGTGGTGTATCCCTGGCACTGCGGATGCCCAGCCCGCTGCTATCCGGCGCGCGGCTTGGGTGAGTGAGGGCGGTATCGTGGTGTTGCCTAGGAAGAGGGATATAGAGGGGAGGGAACCTGCGGCCTATGAGGTTTTGGTTAGTCTTGCTGAGGAGGATATGAAGGGGTTTGAGGATAGTCTTGCCGAAGGGAAGTGGTTGGTGGATAGACAGTAGGGGTGTTTTGGGATAGATTGAGGGTGTACAGATAGAATGTAGTAATTTGTAATCACGGTGAGATGCGGCGCATTTTCCTTGTTAGATTGATTGAATTTATTGCAAAGTATCCCTGAGTAAAGTTTAAATATCCGTAGCCAATTCATTGCCAAAAGGTCTTTCATTCCCTCCTATCAATTCTTATTCACAAGCTGTATTTTTATGTTTGAATGCGTGATCAGCCGCTGGAGTCTCGCCATCAGAGATTTCCAGATACACACTGCGCCTATTTCACTGACTTCTCCTATCTAGATTCAAGCCTTCAGCTAACTAGAATACATTAGATCCAGATGCTTCGATACTGACGGGGCTTAAGAGAAGACCGAATCAGGTCATTACTAAAAGCACCATGTCTTACTAAAATCCCCGATAGACATGGAAGTGCCTTGTGGATTGTCTCATATTTACATCAAACACCCTGGAAAGCATGGACCTCCGAAATCAGTTTCGCAATCGTATAGTTCAAAGGAAATATTTTCAGCAAGACGTTGGCACAGACTTCGCTTGCGCTGAGAGGACATAAAGCAAATCATTGCAACCATATTGAAGAGACCTATATACCGGAATACACGCTCAGGGAGCATCCGATCAGCATAACATAGGGAAGAGATATTGGCAGGGTATGTAATCGTCGAGTCACGTCCATGTTGAGAACCAGAAAAGCAGTGCCGTAGACCCCTGAAACTTCTTTTTTTTAGAAGACGGAACACGTATGGCAACAGCAGAGGATCTACAATCATCCAGTAGAGTTGAAAGATTTCTATAAAGTTGGCAGGAGGTTATCAGATCTACCTTCCTTAGTAATGTATGTGATAAAAGTCCTGAAAATCTCAAGTGTAGCAAAGCTCAAACCTACTATGATCATGAGCATGAAACGATGCGTTTAAGAAGACTACATGATCTTTATACTCATGAACATGCCTCTACAACACAAATGGAACACCTGGCGTGGCCGCAAGCGGTACAAACTCTGTTCCAAGACCCATATGGGCCATCGTAGCAGGCTGAACAATACCAAACCACATTAGCAGCAAGCTGTTCAACTCTTCTCGGCTTTCCCTTTTCAGTCACATCATCTATATCAGATTTGGTGGGCTTTGTTTCCTTTGACTGGCTGGATGATGCTTCGAAGATCTCGCTGGACCATATTCTCCCAGTTTTGACGTCAATCAAATCCTCAGAGTAATATTCTAATATGCCTTGAGTTTCTCCTTTTGATCCTTCAAGGTCCTGGTGCTGGCCAAAAAAAGAATCGTTTGTCAAGGAAACTTCCACTTGAGGTTGCTTCGCGCGGAGACGAGAACTGCGCATTGAGGTTTCGTTCGACTCTCCGGCCGGCGGTGATGCTTTTTCTTCTACATCTGGATTCAAGGATGGCGACTTGGGTTCTGAGTCAGATGGCAACAAGTAGGGTTGAGACGTAGACAGAAACGGCTCCTCAAGGCTTTCAGCTAGTAATGCATTACCATCGGTGGCACTTGGCGAGTTTGGGACATGTTCTGGTGGAGTCGTAAGGTTCGTATGCAGTGGAGAAGCCAGCTCGCTTGGTTCATCAGTCCTGTCTATTTGATATGCGTGTATAGCGTCGTATATTGCCCCTTGAATATGCATCCGGACGGTTACACAGTGCTTGTAAACCTCGAAATCGAGTAACAGTCCCGTTCCGTTCTTTTGGGCACAGAGAAGACTTCTTTCCCCCACCCTTCGGCATTCAATGCCCTTACTTAGCTGCTGTCGTAGTAACTCGTTATGAGGCCTATTTTGATCGAAAACCATGAGATATATGCCTCCTGTGAAAGACTCGAGTTCAAGGTAGCCATTGATGATAGTAGTGTCACCTTCAAACGTCCGCTTGGTTACTTTAATGGGGTATCGAGTACAGTCAACAATACTCAGTGGTTTCTGGCCAGAATTTTGTCTTCTCTCGTCCCAGGGTTCTTTGGTTTTCTGTAGGTTCCGCCACTCTTCTAATTCATAGTCCGAAACTTTTGAACTATACTCGCATATCCTGTTGGTCAAAAGACTGATAATACTCAAAACGTACAAGTGAAGATTCTGCCACTCCTCTGATCCTTTAATGATAGATTCCTGTTCGAGCTCGTGGACTTTCTTGTCCAAAAGTTCCTTGATCTTTTGTTGAACAGGCCACTCTTTTGATGCCCATTTCGACGGGTTTTGTGCATGCTCAAGGACTTCCATATCTAAGAGTTCACTGATCTCCTGTGGATTCGGCGAATCTCCTGAGTCCCAATTGTGGGGTGGAACAGCTGGTTGTGGTCGTGGTTGGGCATTTAAATGCGGCGACGAGAGCGGGTTGCTTGGCGATCGAGCTGGTTCCGACTCCCTTGGGGGTGTCGACTTCACTTCATTGATATCAAAGGGCCTATCCAAACTTACTTCTGACTCAGCATACGTTTCTACTGCAGGTGGTAGAGCCAGAAGAGCAACATCTTCCATATGTCTCGCAAAATGTGTTAAGATGGCGCTCTTTCCGTCTCCTGTAAGATTCAAACAAAGTGGACATTTAATCGCTTCCCATGCAGGTCCTAAATTGTGTTCGAATTCTAGATGATCTTTCCAAGTTTGAAGGTTAGTAAATGCGGTTGCATTGAAGTGGCATTCATGATAGAAGCAGTTGTAAGGTTGTAAATCGCTAAAGAGGTGCTTCCTGCTCAAAATCAGTACAAGCTTGGTAGACTGTGAGGTTCAACATACCTCCATTCGCGATTATTCTTTGCCCGTATGAGTCCTGCGCACGCGATGCACTCAAAGGGTCGGCCATTTTTCCCTTCTGCTGGCAGCGGTGGGATGCGGACTCGCTCGCCACCCGATACGCACGTCATAAACGATACAGTCGATTCCGCATACGATGGCTTTGATTTTGCGAGAGAGGTGCCAATCCATGAGTCCTGAAATTCAGAACTAAAGCCAGTGGATTTAGTAGTAAGGGGTGCTAGTAGGCCCTGTAGCTCAGGCGCCGCAGCGGTATTGTTCTCGCGCTCACGTTGCATACGTAAGAAACGCGACCAGCTGATTTTGCCCAAAACCTGCACTAAATGTATTTCAGCCTCTGGGTACTTCGCTTGTATGAGATCAGTGTGATAGTCCTGCGCAAAACGTGGGCCCACCCCTACCACGCCAGGCTCATCATCGTGGGATTCATCCGGAGCTGGGCATTCCAAGGCAGTACCAAGACCAATTAAGCAGTTTATGTACGTCTTCGCTCTGCGAATCATCACATTTACTCGTGTTGGTAGACTGTCTTCTTCTTCATGATCATCGCCACTGTCGCTTTCCTCTTCGCTTGAGCTCTCGTCGGCAGCTTTTAAGTACCATTTCCATTCACTATAAAGCTCTGAGGCTGCTGCGTGCTGACGCCGGACTGAGTCATCATTCATTTGCGCTAAGACGAAATTCGATATTCCTGTTCTAATCAGTACCTCCCGTCGCATAAATGGGTATTTGACTCACCGTCCATCAGACATCTGCATAAATGGATCAGGGTCTCGATGGTAGCTTGTCGAACTTCCGTTGATCGCTTGAGGTGATCATCAAGCTTTCCTTCAACCACCCCATGACCGTGCTCCCAGAGTTGTAATGTGGCGTAGCCTTGCCGTAGCGTGCGGTGTCCAGGTGTTGTGATCCATGTTGGACTGGAGTGTTGTATCAGGTTTCGAAGCAGCCCGAGGCATGTATCAAACATGCGGGCTATAATTCCATGGTCTCCCTCTGGCTTCGAAGATATCTCCTGCTGCCATCTCTCAATGTGTTCCCTGTTTTTCTGTGAGCTCAAAGCGATTGAAGTCATTGATCAAACTTCGCATCAAGTATCGCTCGTAACTGTGAGGCCCGAAGGTGAAAAGAATGATCCGAGTTTTGGAAGCACGGTTTCAGGGGTGTAACATGCAGAACAGAATGGACTGAAAGATTCAAAGAGTTTACTTTGCCGTTTATCAACAGCATATCAGGCTGGGGCTGAAGCGGGGCTGAAGCTGAAGCGGGGCTGTGCATGATGAGGCGCTTTCGCAAGAACTATCTCCAGCCGCGATCAGGCTGCCACATTATTCTTCCGTACTTCTCTTTTCTTTCTGTTCAAATCTCCACGAGGATGTCTGGTTTGGAGATAGCGGGCCTGGCAGTTGGCGTTTTGCCTATCCTATTTGAAGTTGTCAAGTCCTACTCAATCATACGTGATAAGATACGCACATTCCGCCGCTGCAATCAAGAGCTCGAAGATGTTTTTGTGGAATTTAAAGCCATCAGAGTAATTTTCTTCAACGAAGTACGGTTATTACTGCGTTCTATGGAAATCAAGAAACAAGTGAAGCTTGATCTTGAAGAATGCAATAACCGACGTTGGGCAAACCAAGAAACCGAAGACCGATTCAGAGCAGTACTTCAGGACAACTATGACGCTTGCAGGGAGATCATTCAACATATTAGTCGATATCTCGAGGAAATCGCATCAGAACTGGAGAATTTTGAGCCCTTTTTGAGCCAGAAATTACCGGTTGGTCCTGACTTCAAGCATATTATGATCACGCACTAATTGTGTCATAGACTGAGTCTATCAGGTCAGTTTACAAACGTTTGAGCAAATCGCTGAAGTTTACTTTCAATAAATCGAGATACGACAAATGTTTAACCAGCCTACGAGATCGGAACAGTGAGCTAATCTCGCTGCGGTCCCAAGTTGTTGCTATCGAGCAACAGGAAGTTCCTTCAGGTGTCTGTATCCAGCATGTCCCATTGCCCAGTCGATTCAAAACTATTCAAACCGTTTCTCGAAAGCTTCACGAGTCTCTTTGTGGGGCTTGGCGTTGCAATCAGCCCACGCACTGCGGGCATGACGCTAAGCTATGCCTTGATGCTGATGCGAAACATGATGTAACCTTGGATCTTGCTATATCTTGTCGCGAATCCAGCTATGTAAATTCTTCTTGGTAAATCTATACATGGATTTTGTTGGTATATGCTAACTGCCCTCAGTTTGCTACCTGAATCTACAATCTGGCTGTTCGTACAATCGACAAGTATATCCGCAGACACACTACCAGACACGCCCAAAATCCAAGATAGTCTTGATATGTGCTCCGAAATAGCACTCGAACTACTAAACCCTGTCGTGTCGAGTTCTTCCAAGACCTTGAAGAAAAAGGCATCTTGTGATCTTTCGAAAGACTCAGCTCCTAAGAAAAAAGCTCGGCGTGTTCAATTTCAAGTATCTACATCACCACTTCCAGCGAAAGTACCCAACGCAGATGTTCCTGGTACGCTATTCACATTCGGAGTTGATCTCTGCAAGACGAAGAGTATTTGTGACTATTTGCGAGAGTGTTATGAGGCACGGCTACTAAAGTCGGCAAAGGAATGTATTGGCTACTTGGACAGCGCGCAGATGTACAAGCATCTATTCTACCTCAAGGAGAGAAAATCAAAACCACAACTGGATAACTCGGCATCTTCTACCATATCTAAAATTCAGGACGCACTCAGACAGGAGGTGTACGATGCTTTACAACCCGAGGATCGCTTAAAGCTAGCACATAGACTGGCCGTTGCAACTTTACAATACAATGACACCCCCTGGCTTCCTGAGCGATGGCGCTTAGGAGATCTCAGCTATCTTGGATCAAGATCTTCGTTCAACGTCGAAGCCCTCAAGACCTTACACTTCAACTCACAGATATCGCGACCCGCTACAACAGCAGATGGTCAAATGGAGGATATACAGCAAGACACTGGAACAATCTCAGAACAAACACGTTACGGTATCAACAACACTACACTATTCTTCCTCGGTGTTGCAATGCTCGAGATCGCCTACTGGACGCCGATTGAAGAAAAGATGACGAACAGGGATGAAAACAATCCAGTTTTCGCTGCTCGCAGACTTGTTCTAGACCGAGGGGCCCCATTGGGTCCAGAGTATCAGCGAATCGCACAAAAATGTCTTGAATGTAACTTTGGGTTCGGGACCAAGCTCAGCAACAAGGGCCTACAATCTGCCGTGTACAACGATGTGGTATGTCAGCTGGATGAGATGATCGAAAGGCTTGAGAGGCTGAGTGTGTGAATCTTGGCTTGAGTTCTTGTATTCACTGGCCAAGGGGGTTAGCGCGATGGGTTTTTTTTCTTCTTCTTCTATATTTTCCTCTACTACAATGATAAGGAACCTGGATCACTCTCACTTCACTTCATTCCAACCCACCCTAAACACCAAGAACCACAAAACCAAAACAATGACCGCCAAAACAACCCTCTTCCCTCCTCCCAAATTACCCTATCCCACAACTTACACACATTCACAATTCCATAGACGTACAATCCACACATCCATAATCACCAGTACCAAACCCAAGCGGCCAAAATCAAGCACCCCAAAACCGACAAACTCAGAAAGGCCTACGTTTTGCCAGGTTGATAGAGTATGACATAGAGACACGAGCAATGCTTCCATGTCAAGGAGAGAAGTACAGAAAAGAAAGAATATAAAGAAAAGAGATGCAAAGATGAGAACACGGACAAAGTACCCAAAGTGTTAAGATATTATATTTTCGAAGAAGCAGAGAAAAAAAACGAGGGTAAAGTACAAAACACAGCATGTCCCTCAAAGCATTTCAACAGATTTGATAAACTAACATCACAAACTGCAAATTCATCTTTGTTGCATGGCACAAGGCCCCTTGATTTCATGATACAATACTGTACACATCCGTACAAAAAATGCTCCCTTCCATATTCCCCACATGCACCCAGAAGCACTCACGACCTACCTCTTCTTCCCCCTACCCACCTTCTTCTTCCCACCCGTCATCGCCGCCGCACCCCCCTTCTTCTTCTGACCCTCGGCCGTCCCCAGCGCGGCCTTCTGCCTCAGATACATCCTTACCACATTCTCCACACTACCGCGATCATGCTTAACCGTGCGCATATACGTCAATCTGGCGCGTCGGGCGCGCTTGGCCGCCCGCTGAACAACTTCTATGCCTTCGACCAGCGGACTGTAAATCTTGTACCACATTTCGACGCCCACGCGGGTGAGCTGGCCGCGCAGAAGAATGGCTGTGTCGGCGCCACGGCGCCGGATGTTGATGCAGACGCCGGCGAAGGGGTCGCCCGAGCGTTGGCGGACGAGCAGGATGTCGCCGACGCGTGCGCATTCCGGGTTGTCTTTTGCGAAGAGGCGGGTGCGGGCGCCGGTGGGGTCGAGCATGCTGATTTGCGTGGCGGTTACGGCGGCGATGGGGTTCGGGCAGGTTTTCTTGATGTTGCGGGCGGATGGCTTGAAGACTGGGACGCCGAATTGGTGACCTGGGGGGTTGGCGGGGGTTAGCATTGAAGGTGGTGTGTATGTGTGGAGGGGTATGGAGAGGGGAAAGGCGTACTCAATGCGTGGTTTACGTTCTTTTGCTTCATTACGGCTTCCCACTTTGCACTTATGGGTTTGGACGGTTGTTTCCGCCTTGTGTGTGTCTTCAATGCCCCATTGATGGGCTGGCCGTTCTCGCCATAGTATTCTGGGTACAATGCCCTGTGCAGACGCTGACTGAGATCCTCTCGTGGTAACCGTTGTTCACGCTTGGCGGGCGGAGGAGGTGCTGTTGCGGGAGCGGCGTCGACTACGACCGTCTCGGTGCTTGCATACCGTTTGCATCGTATGGCGCGAAAGGCGACACGCTGGGCGGTGGCCCGCGTGCAGGGGATTGCGGCTGACATTGGCGTGCGGAGTCGGATATCATGTAACATTGGGGTTCAGCGTCGAGAAATTCGAGATTGCTTATGTCAGCACAAATCGATCTTCTTCGCATTATGCTTGGCAAGTTACACAGCTCGTATCGGCACGTGTCTGAACCATGACTGCTTTTTCTGAAGACCATTTCTTCAATACACCTCTATGTTGTCTTGTGGAGTGGATCGTATTGTGAATATCTATTTCCATATGCTGACTACAGCTGCCGTCTTTAAACCCTACCCAAAAATGCATCCCCCCTACGCAAACACGCTCATGAACAGTCGTCTCGTGGCATACGAATTAGAAAAAGAAAGGCTAACTTTTGTTGGAATGCAAATCACCACCGTTTGGGGAAAAAACGCAGTACACTCCGCCCATGCTGAAAAAGGAAGCCCAAACACCAATGCTCCAACAAAAAGGCAGGTGTGGTTACAAGATGGCCAGATAACATCAAGTGGGTATCGGTACTTCCGTGTTAGGCATCCAGTGGCCACATTGGCACCACTTTTCTACCAGGGTACTCCAAAGGAAAAGGGAGGTCAGACGCCTTTGAGATGCAACCGCCCGACGCCATTGGAACTAAGGAACATGTCGAACCGAAGGAATTTAGAGCCTCGCATGGTTGAGCTGCTCGCTCAAACCCAGAATGACGCTGGGTTGCTGGAATTGCTCGCCCTGAAACATTGACGTAAATCGTCAGCAATTGATCTGTTCAAAGTCGATCTCAATCTCTCTCCTAGGCGTCTCTACCTCTTCCATCCAAGTAAGACCATTGGCCGCTTCTTCCACTGGGAAAACCTCTTGGGCGTACTCCTCCATGGAACGGTTTCCCTCCCACAACGACAAGGCGACAGCGGGGACGTCCGGCTCGAGATCGGGTCCAAAGTAAGGTGCGCCCTTTTCGCCTAGGGTGTACTCGAGTGCAGCGAGATGCTCCCGGTAGCCTGCGGGTGTGGGAACGTTGATCATTATGGGGCCCCGCTTGTAGCGAACTGGTCTCTTGAGGCCGACACTAAAAGCCTTGCAGACTTGTCTTGGGGTCATGGATGCAAACGCTAGCGGTATCCTAAGCTAGTCAGCATGTTATTCAAAAAAAGCAAAAAAGAGAGAGGCGGCGCATCTGTTGCAAGCTCGCTGCGACCATGACTGCGTCATGAGTGGGTGCGCAAGCAGTGGAAAATTTGACGTTTGCAACTGATGATGGCAGACCACCTGATGGAACTATTGTGGGGAACGGGCGAACGAAGTGGACCAAGATACGCAGATGCAGGACACGCTTACCGCTTGCCGTTCCACTTTCGTGGACCTTCCTTAAATAGTTGGAATATAGCTGGACCAACGTCGTGCTCCGAATCTAACCACGGGAGTGGCTGATCAGGGTGAAATGGGGCCTGCCAGACGAAGCTGCCATCATACTGATGTTCCATGCGAAAGAGGGGGAAGTCGAGGCCGGTAAAGTTGTTGTGATATGCGCCGCAATAGACAAAGGTGGCGGGCAGGCCAATCTGGCGGACATATTGCTCGACTGTGAATTTTGGAGCCCACATTGGGAGTGCCTTCCAGCCTTGGCCAAATACGGAGTGGTCGGGCATGCTCGAGTAGATGTAGTGCTGGATTCCGGCTTTTTTTGCGGCATCGGCTAGTGCTCGACCAATCGCAACCTCGTCGCCCCAGTGGGTGGTGTTGATGAAAGCGCACTGAGCGCTTTTGAATAGATCATCGAGAAATTTTTTGTCTTCGAGGGCTCCGATGAAGACGGTGACATTGTCGAGTTCAGAAAGCTCTCGGGCGACTATGCCGTTCAAGTCTCGCATCTGGGCCCGTACCTGCCATCCTAGTGCGGCAGCGACGCGAATGAAGCTCGCCGATTGGCGGCCATTGCTGTTGATGGTAACGACTGTCCTTTGCATTCGTGTGTTTTTGGCGGAGGTGAGGAGGGTAGGGAAAAGGAGGGTTTGTGGCGGTGAGGCTCTGGCGGGTCCGGAAAGAGAAAGTGAGTGGATGGTCCTGGGTGGGCAGAAGGAGAGCGATTTCGGAACAAGAGTACTTGTTGGATGCTATATGGAAAGGCAGAGCAGGGCCAAGGCGCGAGGATCCCCGGGTATAGTCAGCTGGGGTTTGGGGAAGCGGCCGGTCCTGGGCGCAAAGTGGAGGGAGACGAGATAAGGGTTTGTGTAAGGGCCGTGGTAACCTGAAAAAAGCCGTTGTTGGGTTCGGCGGGGAGACTATGACGGGCCCTAAGGCGCACACACACGCGCACACAGACACAAGGGGTCGAGCGGTTGATAGTGCGATCGAGGGAGGGACACGTGAGGCAGGTAATGCAGGGTATAGGCGAGGCTAGTGGACGATTGCTAAGGTTTAGATGGCGGGCCGACTGGCAATACCTTTGACGTAGACAGACGCAACGCTGTTGGGGGCAGAGGAGCGGTACTTGTTGGACGAGGCCGGAGAAGCAGGAGAAGCACGAATTTGAGTCGGTTCTCGTATGACCTTGCAGCCAAGTTTAGCCCTCGTCATTTGCATTGCTGGGAAAAGACTTACCTAATAGTCCACCTGCAAGGGCGAATAGGCTCCGCTTAACATGGCGACCATCTGACCGCGGCCAGGGACTGAGCACCGCACGCCAGCGAAACGTGCCGGCGGACGCTGGCTGCCAGTTCCCCAACGATACACTGCCGAGGGTAGGGGGATGGACAGGTATGGCTATGGATATCATGTCTGCGTTGCCACTGCCACTGCCGTTGCTGTTGATATTGCCATCCATTGCCACATCAGACGCCGAAGCAACAATGTTTGCCATTGTCCTTTTTCTGTCCCTTTTTCTCCCAACACACAGACAAAGGCACACACAGACAAAGGCACACACACAGGCACAGGCGCTATCATGGTCTCTGCGAGGCGTGCTCGGTAGGCTAATCCATAGACGAGCGGGCTCCACCTCTGGAATCTACTAGCAAAAATAATGTACATACATAGTACATACTATATCCAAAAGGATTGCAACCCAGTCGGCGAATCGATGCGGGGGACGTATCGATACTAGACGGGAGTCGTACATGGCTGGATATGGTACATAGCATGCTACAAATGCATGTACATACTTAGGTATAGTAGACATGGCGTGCGGGCGAGTCAAGAGGCAGCAGGACAAGGGCTGCACAGCCAGCCATGTACATGTGTAGATATGTAGGTCGACGATGCTTCGTTCGGAGGCGTCCACCGCCCGCAGCGGCTTGTGCAGTGGTGAGTAATAAGAACAAAGAGAAGCCCCCAGGGGCGGGATTACTCCGAGTGCACGCAGCCAGGGACATGACGGCGTCAGGTCTTGGCACAGAGATTTCTTTTACTAACTGAAACAAGCTCCCGATGTCTCCCTCTTTAGCGGCCCTGGCCTGCGAGCGCCCCTCGCATCTCCAAAGCGGAAATTCGTTGCAGTCCGCTTCCCCACATCCAGCGCCGGCTGCCCGTCCTTGTCGACTGTTGTCAGATGCCATGTTGAGTCGAAGCCCACGAGTCTCGCCACGACCACGGCCACCCATCATCGTCTGGGCGCGCCCAAGCAAGCACGCCTTGGTCGCCGTTTGTTGCGCGTCCATCACCAACCCGCTTACCCTACTCCCCTCCTCGAGAAGGATGCGCCCATCGCATCCGGCCTCCCGTCGACGTCGCAGACGTGCATCGGCCTCACCCCAGGCGTCACCAGACCCTGCCGACGACGTGCCATCAAATAAACAATTCCTTCGCTGGGCCCGCAGCAGCCAGCAAGCAGCCACAATCAACTGTGGCCCCCCCAGTGCTCGTCCATGTGAGTTGCATGTACCCCTCACCCAATCACACGGCTCCAAATCTCAGCGTTGCCGTCGCCCTCCGATGCGTACAGCTTGGCCGTGCTCACTTCGTCGCTGTGAAGATGGGCTCCCGCATCGATCAGTGTCTGAACATGGTCTGCCAGGCCTGCTGCCGCTGCCAGGAAGAGCGGGGTATTGCCTGATCGGTTTCGAAGATGCACAGAGGCCCCCTGTGCCAGAAAATCTCGCAGAATCTCTACGTTGGGGCTGGTTGCCGCCAGGTGCTGCGTTCATAGTCAGCACCATATCGCAATATTGCGCGTCATTGTATGGAAGAATAATGTTCCACACACGTTTGCTACGCCGCATGCAGCCCGGGATCCAGCTGAGCGCGATAAGCCCGTGTGCATCATGCCCTGTTCTCTCCTGTGCCGACGGCCTCGTATGCCTTTATCTATGACACCCGCCATGTACAGACGCGTCGCCCCCCTTCAGGACGCTGCTGCCTGTGCTGCCGCGACTGCACATCTTCTTTCCGATACCGGCTCCTGCCCAGTGCAGGCACAATGTAACTCGAGCAATGCCGGTTGCAACGTGCTGCAACACGGTGACAGAGAGTAGAGATAGGTACTTGAATGCTGACTGGACAGAAATGCACTTACCACTGGGCTGTTCATCTGATAGTCGGCATCGTTGAGTAGCCAACGAGGCTCACCTCGAATAATATCTCTCGTCGCCTGCAAGTCGCCCTTTTGGATCGCGTACCCGAGCGCCGTGAGACTGGAGAGCTCAGGGGTAAGTACGCCGCTCCTCGAAGGATGTTCGAAATGAGTTCGTGTTGTCTCGGTAAGCTCGCCACGCAATGAAACAGACATGCGCTTCGCAACCTCGTCGGGCGTCGCTCCCGGCAGCGACAGGAGGTATGCCAACTTGGTAAGGGCTGCTTCTGACGTCAGATCCTGCCCAAACACCACTCCCGCTCGCCCAAGAAAGGCTCCAGGAGCATACAGCGCGCTAACGCTGCCGCTCAGACACTGTGTTACATTGACAATCACAATTCCCCTCTTCACTGCGTCGGCCAGGCATCGCGTCATTGCGCTGTCCGGCCCACCAGGTGTGTTTCCTGCTCCAAACGTCTCCAATACGAGCCCCTTGAGCCCTTCCAGATGCAAGACTGCATCCACCATTGCAGGCGTAATTCCCGGAAAGACACGTAGACAGGCTACGTGTGCCGTGTCCAGGTTCGTCTGAATGGCAAACGGGCTGAGGTCGGTGGAGCGATGGACACGATGCCACAGTACATTGGTCCTGGTAGAGGAAATGGTGGCCAACGGCGGCAGATTGGGACTGCCGAATGCATCAAAGTCTTCTGCAGATATCTTGGTTGCACGGTTGCCTCGGAACAGCTTGAAGTTGAAGAAGAGACACACTTCGGGAATCATAAAGTGTCCAGCAATGATGAGCGAGTTGAGCAGGTTGTCCTGGGCGTCTGTTTGCAAGTTCATCATGGGTGCTTGGGATCCAGTCAGGACTACGGGCTTGCCCAAATTGTGAAACATGAAACTGAGCGCAGACGACGTGTAGGCCAGTGAGTCGGTCCCATGTAAGATGACGAAGCCATCGAATAGTTGGTAGTTCCTTTGCACCGTACGCGCAATCTGGTCCCAGCCGGTCGAGTCAATGGAGCTACTATCAAGCAGTTTTTCAAACTCCAGCACACAGTATCGAACCCGGCGTTCATATGTGCTGACCGGAGTCCTCAAACTCTGCACAGCCTTTCGCGTACCCTTGTCGTCGACAACAATTTCGAGAGGCTCTGGGTAGGATCCATCATTGAAAACAGGCCGAGGTGCAAGTCCAGCTTTGAGAAACCCTCGGGCAGGGACCAGTCCATCTGCAGACTTTCGCATGCATATTGTGCCGCCTGTCCAAGTTAATGTTAAATGAAGGCCAAGTTAAGTGCCAATGCCGTGTACCTGTAATAACAATCAATACGTGTGATTCTGGAAGTTGGGGCTCTGGAAGCGAGCCGTCCATGTCGTTCATCGTGGTTGGGCCTGTGGCAAGTTTTTTCTTCTTCCTTCTCCCGGTAGCAAGTACACCGACGACGCAGATAGGAACGCTACGGATGTGTCACGAAGCGTGCAGTATGGGGAAACGATAACACAACGGCCTGTGTCTGATGATCAAAATTCAATTGGCACGACAGGATGGTATAAAATTTCGGCAGGATCCGGTACCGCACATGATTGAACAAGATAGCAAACATTACATGGCCAGGTCTTGGCATGATAGCAGGTTATCTTAGCGCAGGCAATGTTCGTCGACGACATGGTTTTCCAAAAAGGCAAAAATTATTTGTGATCCAGGGCCCATGCCTTGCTGATCGGACCGACCGCCAAACCCACTCCACGCCCGCGACCCACAGTTAGGCGCTTGCATTACCCCTTCGAAATCGACTCCATTACCCCTTCAAAACTGCTTTCCATTACCCCTTCGAAACTGAAAATTTGCACTGTGAACCACGTCGGACCACCACTCCATCGACCAGGCCCGCATCGCGTGGGAAGCATCGGCTTAGCAGATATGCCTTTACGTCATGAAAACCAAGTCGGCAAATTTCGCAGGCTTGCAGCGAGAAACGTGCGCGATTGCGATTGATTATACGGACCCGAGCGGACACTACCATCCTCCTCGCCTACAGGTGCGCTATCCACTACAGGATATTCTTTGCGGCCTCCTTGGATGCACTTGCACGCGCCTTCTCCAGGCTTTTGACTTGCCCATAATTGTCCTTCACCCATGCTAGCACGACATCTCTGGTGTCGGGTGACACAAACTTGGACCACACCAGAGGTTCCGCCAGATTTGGCTCCTTCGCGATGAGGGGACGTCCGTTTTCAAAAGCCACCCAGCGTCGCAAGCCTCGGAGGATGAGAGCCAGAGAGTTACTCTGTACAGGCACCGCTTCCCTGATCTCCTTCCAGAGCTCTTCTTCTGCCGTCTTGAGATGATGCTCTTCCATCATGGCATCATACCCCGCTTGCTTTCCAAAGACACGGATGGCTTCGTGAAGCACCTCTTCCCGTGTACAAGCCTTGCAAGCGCCCTTGCCCGCATGTGAGGGTATGTACTCTTCAACAAACCGCCGGTACATGGGCCTCTTCGTTTGGCGTGCTCGATCATTGTGTTTCTCAGTGCGACTCTGAAAAGTCTCACAAGCGAAGAACCTCCCGCTACATGCCCAGTCAAAGAGATCCTTCTCATCCGTGAACCCAGCCTGATACTTGGCCACATCAAGACCGTAGAACTCCAGAGCCTCTTCCGGAGATCGTGTTAAGAATAGCAAAGCCTTTTTCTTGTTGTAGGGCTCTATCTCTTGTACTCGAACGTGCAAGCCCTGGTCGTTGCAGACGAGGCCTAAGGGCCGATGAGATACTCCAATGATTTGCAGCAAATCAGAGTCGCTCTTGACAAAACGTGTCCATTCGAAAAGCTCGGCACTATTAGAAGTTCCATGGCCTACGCATAGCTCAACATCTACTTGGACGTACAATCCTATCGTCGCGGGGTCCGGTACCGCGTATGAAGCTGATCCGCCACGCAGTATGTGGGCTTCAGCCTTAAAAAGATCGCGTATCAGGTCCCAGACATTGCTCTCTGTGTATGGAGATCGGAGTCCGTCGACTAAGTAATCGATATCGCCATGGTCTACTTTGCCCGGTGCCTCGCGTGGAATAACAACTTTCTCGAAAATAGTCTCTAGCTCGCGCTGATAGCGTGCGGAAAGTTGCTTATACAGTTCTAGAGATAGTCGGGGGACAATAATTGGTTGCCCAGAGTCCGCCACAGTATCTGCGAAGGCTAGACCTCCCATGATGAGAACGCGACAGAGGATGTAGGGCTTGAGGGTGATTAGATTTGTGCTGTATAGAATTCTCGATGGATTATATTTATGGTGAATGTGTAGAAAGTATATTACCACAGGTGAAACGAGATGTGATATAGAGAAGTAGGAGTCATACGTCACCAACTACGGCTACCACTCTTGGCTGTACGACCAATCCATAGTAAAGCTGATATTTAGCTCTCGCTCATGTCTGCACATCTAGTTTTACCATAAGAAAATACATGCGTCAAACTTCACAATACCTTTACCTGGAGAGCTTGCCAAGCAAAATGTATGGCGTAAGTATGCGTACAAAAACGCGGGGCGGAATGGCTCCGCTTTAAGTGGGGCCCATTCAAGTAGCTCCAGATCCCTGCAGCAATTTGCGAAATTTTGTGAGAAATGCTCCCAGATTAAACGATCCAACCTCAACCACAACTCACATTCAGTATTTTACGCCTGCGGCACTGAGTCTAGTACCTTTCCAAATATAGCAAAATGGAGGACCATACACACGAAGAAGTTTCTGCTCGCTTCGAAGAGCTTGCGGCTCTTGAGCACGAGTTTGAGGACGCTGAGGAAGAAATCAGTAAGTCGCACTGCCTCCTACATCAAGAAAGGGGTCGCATAATTGCATAAAACAACTCCTCAAGAGTAGCGCTCCTTGCGATGCCCCATTCCGTCTGCTTCTACCGATGCGACGGGCGCAATGCTGACATACATGTAGTTCGCAAAGCTGAGGCAATCCAGACCCCGCTGTTCAAGAAGCGCGCCGAACTTGTTGAGAAGATCCCTCACTTCTGGGCCCTAGTCTTCGAGCAAGCGCCTCCCGAGATTGACAGCTTCATCCAACCCACCGATTCAAAGCTCATCGCAGAGTGCCTGTCTACGGTTGAAGTTTCGCGCTTCGAGCTGGATGACCCCAATGGCTCACCGCGCAGCTTCTTGCTCAGGCTTGGCTTTACGGAAAACGAATACTTCGAGGACAAGGTTCTGGAGAAGAAGTTTTGGTTCCGCAAGACCAGAGACTGGCAGGGTCTGGTGTCTGAGCCCGTCAAGATCAACTGGAAGAAGGGCAAGGACCTTACCGACGGCCTGACTGATGCTGCATACAGACTGGGCCAGTTGAGAGCTAAGTTGGCAGCTGATACTACCAATGGAGCAGCAAGGAAAGAGGAGGTCAAGTCGGCCGAGTACAAGAAGCTTGCTCAGATGATCGAGACCGCCACGGATGCTTCAATCAGCTTCTTCGGTCTCTTCTCCTTTGTTTCCGGCTACCGATGGGTTAGCGCGCAAGAGTCAGCACAAGCTGCAAAGGAAGAGAGGGAGAGGTTTGAGAAGGTCAGGCGAGGAGAGAAGATCGACGATGAGGAGGATGAAGACGATGAAGACCCACTCGACTACCAAGAGATTGAGGTTTTCCCCGGTGGTGACGAAGTCGCTACCATCATTGCTGAAGACATCTGGCCCAATGCCATCAGATACTACAGTACGTTGCATGCTCAAGTTGTCGATTCGGATGCTAACAGATCGCAGAAGCTACTTTTGAAGAGGAAGAGGATGATGAAGAGCTATCCGACCTCGATGCCATGGACGACAGCGACGATGATGACGATGACGATGACGATGACGAAGAGCCTGTTGACATTCGCGCTCTCGTAGGAAAGGGACGGAAATCCGCCCAAGAACCACCTGCGAAAAAGCAACGCAAGGCTTAAAGGTCTTTCTCTTAATGAACTGCTCTAATGAACTGCCTGTTACCGAGATGCGAGACAATATATACCCAACGACTCTTTGCACCATCTTAAATGGCAATTTTTTTTTGACGACTTACATCGAGCCTATCGAATACAAATGCGCCCAAAATTGGATTCACAAGTTTTTTTTAGAAATCGGAATTTTAGTTACTGCGAATAGAATATACCTAGTGTTCTTGCGGTATCTGAACGACACTAATCAGAGAGATGCTATGTAAATCCCCGCTCCAGGTAGAGAACTACCTTTGTTACTCTTGTCGTGCATTTTTACCAAAAAAACTCTCACCAAACAACTCCGAACCATTATTTCGGGGGTACGGACCGGCTAAGATGTGCAAAGGATAATTTGCTCAACGGCGCCATGCCGTATGTCCCCACAAGTTTTTTGGCATGGCACGGCATTTTCTTGGGTCGTCATCTTTCAAGTTTGAAAAGTCCCCCGCTACTGCTTGCGGGTAAGCAAGCAACTCTTCTGCACAAAGGGGAACTTTGGTGGAGAAAGCTCCTTTTTTGGCTACTTACAATACTTAAGTATCCACCAATAAAGTTGCCGGTGGGCGGGGGGGCCAAACGGAACCTCACCCCGGTTCTTCCGCCCAACTCTCCCGTTTCTAAACCATGACGTCTTATACTAAGTTCTTCCTCCCCCGTGTATTATGCTAACTCCACAGCCCAGCGAAGCCTTCTTGTATGCCGCAGCAAAGGGGCTTGGAAGCGAACCTTGGCTGCGTTGCTCATTGGGTAACGGCTGGTCTTTGTTGGCTTGACGGCACGCCTACTTACTTGCACAAGTACCAAATATGGTTTCCTTGAGCGTTGTTCTGAGGGGTTTCCATGCATGCCGAGCCGAGCCCCCAGCGTACTGGGGGTGAGGTGCAGGAATTCAATGAAGAGAAGATGCCGAAAAGGAATGAGGATTCGGCGCGGGGCTCCGTAAATGCTGGTTTACAAGAAGAGAGTCGGTGGGGGGTTATTCGAGGTTACTTTTGTAATACAAGTACTGGCCTCAATCCCCCCCTTCTGCCATTTTGTTTCTGAGTCCCCCCCTTTCTTCCATCTTGCAAGTTTGAGGGTTATTTTTTTTGCAAGATGGACCGGTTGGCGTCTCTTGCTGGCTTGCTGCTTTTGGCTCGGTCAATTGCTGTTGCTGCTGCTGCCAATGGGTCTTCTTCGCTTTCATTTGCTCAGCCTACTGGATATAGCACCTCTAGCTACAATGCTTCTGCACAACCTACTCCCTTTACCCGAACCGACTACTCGCAAAATGCACTTGCGGCGCTCTGGGATCAAGTAGGCCCTGTGGTCACGGGTACGGTTACAACGACTGTTGAACCGACTCCCGAGCCATCCGTGTATCCACAGCCAGACCCACGTTACTACCATGCCCTGGTCGGTACTGGGTACCCCGAGACTCAGGGTCTAAAGTTGCCCAAGAACTTTGTCTGGGGATTAAGTTCTTCGGCGTATCAGATTGAAGGAGCTGCCAAGGACGAGGGCAAAGGGCCAAGTATTTGGGACCTGTTATCACATCGCGTACCGAATTTTGTGGCGGACAACACGACTGGTGATGTTGTTGCTCAGCATTACTATCTATACAAGCAGGACTTTGCTCGGCTTGCAAAACTGGGCATTAAAGCCTTTAGTCCCAGTTTCTCGTGGCCAAGATTCTTTCCCTTTGGCAATGGGCCTGTCAACGAGGAGGCAGTTGCACATTATGATGATGTGATTGCGACTATGCATGCCAATGGCCTTCACCCTTCGGTGACGCTCTTCCACTGGGATACTCCGCTCGCCATCTTCAATGAGTATGGCGGATGGACGGACCGCCGCGTTGTGGACGACTTCTTCAACTACGCCAAATTTGTCATCACACGCTACGATGCGTACGTCGACGAGTGGTTCACTATCAATGAGCCCCAGTACTGCAACTGGCAATACGCATCTTACCCGGCCGGCGAGTACTACCCGGCGCCCAACGGAGTCGGGCCTGGCATCGAGGCCCGTTTCTTGTGCGGCCACTACACGCTGCTTGCCCACGCCAAGGTCGCAAAATGGTACCATGAGGAATTCAAGGGCCATGGCCGCATCACGTTCAAGAACAGCGGCAACTACTACGAGGCCAACAGCACAAAGCCCGAGGACGAAGTGGCCCGGCAACGCAACTTTGACTTTAGCATTGGGTGGTTTGGGGGTTGCTGGACTGACGGCGACTACCCACAATCCCTCAAAGACACCCTTGGCGACCTCTTGCCCGAGTTCACACAAGAAGAAAAAGACCTAATCAAGGGCTCCTGTGACTTCTACGCCATCGACCCTTACTCGTCGTTTGTAGCCTTTGAAGTCAACGGCGGCCTCGAGGCCTGCACCAGCAACCGTTCTCACCCTTCGTTTCCTGACTGCGCTGGCTCCGCAAGCATAGCTCCCAATGGGTTCCCCATTGGACCCGCAGCCGACCCAGCCATGTCGTGGTTCTACTCTGCACCCACAGGCGTACGCCGCTACCTCAAGCACATCACGCAAGTCCTCTTCCCATCCATCCCGGACATTGTCGTCAGCGAATTCGGCTTCGCAGAGCCATTCGAAGCGCAATGGAGCAACATCAACGCCGCACTTTGGGATCTCAAGCGGGCGGACTACTACCAACAGTACCTGGACAACATCTTGCTCTCAATCCATGTCGACGGCGTCAACGTGACGGGCGCGTGGGGATGGTCGATATACGACAACTTTGAGTGGCTGCTGGGCACCTCGGTCCGGTTTGGGCTGCAGTATGTCGACTATGAGACTTTGGAGAGGTATCCCAAGGCGAGCATGTTCCAGTTTTTGGATTGGTTTAAGGAGCATGGGGCGGAGGGGAATGCGACGATGAGGATGTGAGGGGCTAGGGGTTGAACTAGAATAGGGCGCTGCAGCGAGCAGCAGTAGTAGCAGTACGGAATTGAGAATGTAATGCAATTCTTCTTTCGGATTGAACGGTGAAACTAGTTTGATTCAGGCGGCCTAGCGGTTCATGTTCATGGCATGTGATGGTTAGTCGGTGGGTCCCGGCGAATGAGGCCTCATGTGACGTGGTGTTGGGCGTGAGGTGAGGTCGTGCACTAGAAGATAGTTAGTTACTCGAGGACGCGGGTGCTAGCCTGCTTTCTTATCGGGCGCTCATCAGGGACCTGCTGCTGCTGCTAACCCACCCGATATCGTCCAGGGCCCTTGCACCTTGTTGGTTGCCCGCGTACTTTTCCACTTGAATCTACACACTTGATTGCCCGACACTCTGGCGACTTACTGTTTGGCCCTTAGTTTCTGTCGGGCTATTCCGTTTACACGTCGTGACTGCCACTTGGCGCATGACGCTTGACGCAACCGCTCGCTGCACGCCCAGGTAGCAAGCAGCTGCGTAACGTCAGCCTCCTGCTCTCCAAACACCAAAACAATTCCACGCCGCGCCCACGATCCTCTTCACCACCGTATATCGACGTGTCAAACCCCGGCACAGCTCCATTCAGCCAGCTATCCGCAAACAACAGTCAGGCCCTGGCGGCAGCATCATCCATCTCTCTTGGCTCGTGACATCGCCTGCTGCTTCATCCCTCCCAGCTCACTCCGCAACCCCGATCGCTCTCTCTCTCTCTCTCTCTCTCTCTCTCTCTCTCTCTCTCTCTTGCCCCCCCTCTTCTGTCACACCCCCACGCCAGTCTACACACTGCGCATACTACCCATCCATACTCCGGAGCCTATTCATGATCGCTACATAGCCACGGATTACAAAGCCCCCTTCTGGCAATAGGTTGCCACGAATCCATCTCCGCGCCATCTGCGGGTAAACCAAGCCCAGCCTTCGTCCTGGCAGACGAAACCTCCCCAGACTTTCCCTCCCCAATCGCCGCCGACCGCCCATCCACTCCGCCCTCTCCCGCTTCTTCTACTTCCCCAGTCATCTCTGCCCCCTCCATTGTCCCCGGTCCTACCACCAACATCCTTCCGTCCCAACGCGCCCCAGCCGGAAAGCGCAGGTACAGCTTCTCCGACAGCGACGATCATAACGACCACGGCGGCCAAGACCCTCTTTCGCGCACCGACCGAGGCAGGCTAACCCGCCACACCTCGAAGCGCAGGCGCAGACTCGACGGGACCATGCGCCTTGACAACGACGACTCAAAGACATCACAATCGCCCTCGCGAAACTTTACCAACGGTTCGTCACAATCCTCGGCACCCAGGTCGCCGCTGGGCAAGCATGCGAATGGCAGCTCCCACACCCGGACTGAGAGCAACGGCTCCTACACGAATGGTGGTCCGGTAGCGAACGGAGGAGCATCGGTTCCCGCGACCTTTTTCGGCCACGACAGGGAAGAAGTAACGCGGATACTCATACAAAGTCTGACCGACTTGGGATATCACAATGCAGCAAGCGCATTGTGTAAAGAGAGCGGCTTTCAGCTCGAGGGCCCCACGGTTGCGGCATTCCGGAGCTCGGTCTTGAACGGCGATTGGGAAGAGGCGGAAGAGTTGTTATTTGGCTCAAATGCAAATGATAACGGAGGCGGCGTTGGTTTGGATGCTTCGTATGGAAAGCCGTGGGGAAAGTCAAGGCCAAAGTCGGGCTCACGGCAATCTGCGGGTCTGACGCTTGCGGAGGGTGCGAATCGGGAGGTTATGTTGTTTTGGTTGAAGCAGCAAAAGTATCTGGAACTGCTGGAGCGAAGAGACCTTTCAAAAGCGCTTGCAGTTCTCCGACAGGAGCTGACGCCGCTTCACCAAGATGTGGGCAGGTTACACGCTCTTTCAGCGTCAGTCTTCAGCTCTGCCCTGTTTCCGCATTTGCACCTGTGCTGACAGCCGCTTAGTTTTATGATGTGCCAATCTGCTGAAGATTTGAGACACCAGGCTCAGTGGGATGGTGCTCGTGGCGAGTCGCGAATGCATCTCCTTTCAGATCTGTCGAGTAAGTTGGTGATTGCAGGTAAATGCCAAGGCCGTCCACTAACACCCTACAGGGTCCATTTCACCCAGTGTCATGATTCCAGAACACAGGCTAGCCGTATTATTAGACGAGGTAAAAGACAGCTGGATTGCAAATTGTCTGTACCATAACACAGCCGCATCACCCTCGCTCTACCTGAATCACAATTGCGAGAGAGACGATTTCCCCACAAAGGCCGTGCTTGATCTAAGACATCACAAGGACGAGGTGTGGTTTTTGCAATACTCGAATGATGGCACCAAGCTGGCGTCGACAAGCAAGGATTGCACAATCATCATCTACGAAACGAGCACATATAGGGTGCTACACCAATTAGACGAACACCGAGATTCAGGCGTCACTCATCTTGCGTGGAGCCCGGATGACACCAAGATTGTGACATGCTGCTCGCAACCAGAAAACTCTGCGAGGATATGGGACGTCAAGGTACGATATGAATGCATCTGTGTAGTTTGCCTAAACTAACCTGCCTAGTCGGGTGCATGCATACAATGCATTAGCGACTTTACCTATCCATGCACAACAGCAGCTTGGGATCCCTCCGGCACACGCGTGATCATCGGATCGCAAGACGACCGCATGGGCTGTGGAATCTGGGATCTTAATGGCGACCTCAAGCACAACTTTTGCGACGACGGCGGAAGGCTCCGCGCAAACGACATTGCCGTATCCCCAAACGGCGAGCGCCTCGTGATCATCACCGAGAGCTCAATAGTAGTCTTTGACTTTGTCAGCTATGAGAAGATTGCAGAGTTCCAGCTCGACGATGTCAAACTAACTAGTGTGATGATCAGCCAGGACTCGCGCCACATGCTCGTCAGCATGAGTCCCGATCAAATCAAGCTCATGGAAATCGACACCGGCGACGTTATCCAACGTTTTGAGGCGCACGTTCAGAAACAATTCATCATCAGATCTGCCTTTGGCGGTGCCGACGAGAATTTTGTCGTTAGCGGCAGCGAGGGTAAGCTCCATTAATCTGATCTCTGTCCTAACCAAACAACTTGCTAACAGCACTGCGTGTCTAGACTCGAGAATATACATCTGGCGCTCTAACGGTCTCCTCATCGAAGCCCTCGATGCCCACCCCGGCTGCGTCAATAGCGTAGCCTGGCACCCCAAAGACCCAACTACATTTGCCTCGGCCGGCGACGACATGCGCGTCAAGATTTGGAAACCAGCGTCTACACCGCCGATACAGTCGGATCATTCTGGCTACGAACGGTAGATTGATGGTTTGGGAGAGCATCCGTTGTTGTTTGCTGTTGTTGCTGTCTTTTGTGGCGTCTTTTTTTTGTCCGTGAATGTAGAATTTACTGGGGGAGGCGGAGTGGTGCCATGTGGACGGTGATGAAATGGGAATGAAAGGGGATGGGGGACATGGTTTAGGCGACTCTCTCTCTCTCTCTCTTCTGCTCTGTCTGGCTCTTTCCGAGAATAGGAAGAGAAGACGAGCTTTTGTTGCATTATTTTTGGCGTCAGAATGGCAATTGGCTTATTCACCCCTTTTTCCTTTCTTTCATCTGACACTTATTCTTCTGTATTCTTTTGGAAAGGGTGGAAGGGTGGGGTACTAGGAATTGCATGATTAGGATCCATTTGTTTGTCCTAGTTTGTTTTTGGGATTCGGTCATGCCGGGGTGGGTGGTTTTTTTTATGTACTGAGATTTTCCACTCCTTGGGGAGAATACACTTGAGATCTACACTCTTCTGACTTTGAGCTTTTACGCCTTGTTTCTTTATTTTTGCAGGGCATATACTTAGGATGACTACGAAGGATGATGTACTGATCGTTTGGGGGGGGGGTTCTGTCTTCTTTGACGTAATTAGAACTTTCAATTATGTACTCTTCATCCCAAACTCGTGACAAAGAAGCACATGATCAAAGCAACTTGATTCAAGAAAACATACAGTAAACATTCTTTGTATTCTTTACTTGTAAAAACATTGCCGTGCCAAAACCCAAACAAAAGAAAACGTCATGGGGAGGAGTTCCAAACCTCGCTCGATATTGGTTCATCAGTCGTGATATTCGTTAAAAAGGGGGGCGTAAGTCATAAAGTTTGTGCTCCTCCAGGGAGTTCGGGTTTAGTTCTTGTCTTCTCTCTTTTTTTTTTGTTACTTGTTTCGCTCGTACAACAGGTACCTCCCTTTCCTATGTATCCAAAAAAAAGAGTCCACAGTATGTACAACTTGGTTCACCCTCTTCTTGTATATTTCATCTGGCTAATTCCATGTTCTGGGTATCTTTACTGGTCGTTTAAACAAAAAAGCGTTACTTGCTTAGATAACAGTCCACCCAGACGCTTGACACATCAAACAACGCTGACAGTGGCTTTACCTTTGCCAAGATTCTGTGGCGACATTAACATTCTTCGAAGTCGGTCCTCGGCTCTTGCCAGTTCTTGCTGAGCATCGTGATTGAGATCGGAGGGGCGGGGCCATGGCAGCCATGCTTTCAAGGAGCCCAGTGTACCTGCACGGGCTCGTGGAGATGGTAGGCTGCGTATTGTTTGTCTGCGTTGGCGTGAAGAAGGTCTTTGCAGGGCCTCGTTTTGAGCCCGAATGTCTGATGTGTGCACGAGGAAACCGATCTTGTCCTGCATAGTAGACGATGTGTCGAGGGAGAGGTGCTTCGAGGCGGTAGGTGCAGCGAGAGTAATGGCTGGATGGGAAGATGAGGTTGAAGTGTGGACTGCCCAAGGAGGTCCCCGGTTTTGCACTTCATCTTGCTTCGAGCTGCTGGCCTCTTGCTCGCGAAAGGTATCGCCATCAATGGCTTTTCTCTTACCACTGCCACCACTGATGACACTCTTCAAGCTGCCATATGCTGATTGGCTTCTTTTCTTGTTGCTCTCTGCCTTACCCTCTTGTGCCAATCTTTCGCTAGAGCTACTGGCTTCAGGCACAGCCATCAGTGTATTGTCTGCGGCGGTCCATCCTTGGCTGATTCTGTTCAACCGACCACGTCCTACAAGTGCTCCGGTGCTAGCAGCCCAGCCTGGCCCCGTCCCAGTGATCTCGCCCTGTGGGGGGAGATGTGAGTCGTATTCATCTGCCAGACTCATTCTGCTCCTGGCACAGATCTCAGCAATAGCATCAATCGCATCTCTGATCTCAGGGTCGACAGCACGTAGGATTGCCGAGAAGGAAAAGTCATCGGCAGAGGGCAGCTGCTCGCTTCTTCCTGCCAGACCGGCTGACAGGGCTGAAGTGTGGTTATTTCCATTCATTGCAAAAGAGCGCGGGGTGTTGAACCCTGACCCAGCGCGAGAAGTATGCCGTGAACCCGAGTACGTGCGTACCACGACAGGCTGACTAGTGACAGTTGTTCGACTAGATGTCGACTTTGCAGACTTGCTCTTGGAAGGAGACGAGTGGAAGGCGGGGGCATTGAGGGCGCGAAGGGCGGCAGACTGAGTCGGTGGCAACGTGTTGGTCAGCGTGGTAGTCGCACTGGGCACTGATGATAAGCTCGCGGTGAGGTCAGAAGGGCCTTCTTGTGTGTCCGGGGGTTGGGCGTGGATGAGGATGGCCGGGACCGCCTCGTCCGACAAGATGGGTTGGGCACTGAGTGTGGATGTGGAGTTGTTCCCCAAAAGGGTCGAGAAGACACCCAGGGGCACCGACTGCTTAGTGGTTGTTGTAGACGTCAATGGCTGCGGGGTTGCATTCGACTCCGTGGTAGCTGAGCCATGTTGCTCGCAGCTGGAGTGGCTGGCGGAGCCTTGCGACAGCGATGGCGCCTGAAAGGAAATGCGGGGGTCGTTTGGAAGGGCGGCGGATCCGGACATGGTGGGCTCTGTTTCTAAACTGCAGGTCAATGCATTGTAGGCCCGCTTTGCGTGCCGTCCGAGTTGTTGAACGTGGCCTGCAGTGATTGAGAAGGATGATGCGTTGGCCGACATGGACCGCCAGTCTTGGCAGGGTATTCGGCACGGCTCACATCCTATTGGACAACCGCTTCTCATAACAAACGCTTACTTCATCAGCGCTACTTTGCAGTAGGTTCGCAGACGGGACCAGACCGATGCGGGGACTGATTGGCGCCTTTGTAATTTTGAGGTCTTGTGCCGAATAAATCAATGATACTTCCAGCGAATAGGGTAGGTATTGCACAAGTCCTCTGCAAGATATCAGGTAAGTAGGACAGGTAGCCTCCAAACGGCCGTGTACGATCAACAATTGAAGTACAAGCCCTCACAATGCCCTTAGAAGAGCATACCGTCCTCTGAACAGTCACTGCCGATCTTTGTAGCAGTTACTAGTAGATCCTTTGCATCCCCAAGCTGGTCGCTCAGCCATGACACCAATCCGCCAGGTAGCTCGTCGAGTACTTGCATCTCGGCCTTGACGTTTAGCATGAGCATCCATTGTAACTCCCGTCTCCAGCCTCGCTCAAATCCATCTTCTGCACACAGATCCCACTCCAGCATTCGTGTTGCTTTAATGCGGTCGCGCGTTGTGAGCCTCATTAGGCCTTGTAGTTGATGTATCATCTTTCTTTCTGTCCCGTCCTCGCCTACCAGACTTGGACTCATGTTGTCACTCTTTACGCCCAGCCACTGGACGTTGGGCAGACACAGTGCGGATGTATTCATAAGTGCAACGTCTTCGTGCATAAGGCGGTACGAACCATATTTGTACGTGGACAGAATGGCGATCCCGTCAGGGTCAAGATCTACCAAAACGAACATGGGAATGTGGTGTGCGTTGGTCCCAAGCTGGCGCAGGAATTGCCTGGATGCGACATCGGGATATCCTTTGGCCTATTCTAGTCATTAGCACTTATTGACAACGTGCGCTTTTGACTCACAGTTACGACTACACCGTGCAAACCCAACGTATTCCATTGCACTGATCTAATCAACGACCGAAATGTCGCCTACATTCCATCAATACCTCAACTCAGAGTATGTAAGAGAGCTGAACGTACCTCCTTTTCGATTATGAGGATCCATTGGATCTCTGTCAAATCCCAACTATCATTGTCACGAACGACGGGAATGAGCTGGCCCTAGTATAGAATTAGACTTTTGTAACGCAACTGACATGCTCGACCCCACCTCACTACTGCTCATTCCATTAAATAGGTTGTTGGCTTGCTCCAATTTGAAGTTTCCAGCCACTAAGCCTTTCGCAGCAGCAGTCTGGTGTCCAAGCATTAGCCGTGTCAAATTGCCATCTCTGGACATTGCGCACCACATTCAGTTGTGATCTAGTAATGTCAAACGTACATGCAAGATCATCTACGTATCGATCTACAACGGACTGCTTCACGAATAGATCGGGATGTCGATAGTAGAGGTCCCTATTTCTTGTCAGATTGTATTCTCTATGAATGAGACAGAATAAAGCACCGCTTGGTCATAAGGGTATTGTCGAGGAGACTACCATGAATGAGCTCCAGAATTCGTAACAGCACAGCTGAGAATGTCAGTCCTCACTTTGAAAAACAGGAGGATACAGACTGAATTTCCAAGCTTCCTGAGCATTGGCGCCTGGGAAGTTGATGTCGCGCTCTTTGGGCTTAGGGATTGATTCATCTCCTTCATTGCTGGGAGCATTTCTACGAGAAAAGGCTGCACGGGACTTCAAGGTTATGGTAAGAGACTCATGTTGTCCCAAAAGACCGTCAATGATTCTTTCTAGCATAGCTTCAATGCGAGCGATCACCCAATATCTATAAGTGAGTAAGCTGCAATTCCCCAGGGTTAATGGGACGCAAAGACCTGTCGCGAACAGGGCTCTGAGCGGCTTCAGCGATATGGCAGCCATGCTGTTCATAAACATTGGTTACACTGTTCATGGGTATGTGCCCCTTAGGTAGTACACCAGCAACAGTAGGTGAACTGATGGTATATACCGATTCCCAATCGTGACACTGTGCGTCCCGAGCAGAGAAGAGAATATCGTCGTCAGATTCATCGAGCAGGATGTCGCTTGGACACATTGGCGTGCCCGGGTCTCCAAAGAGCAGGTCCTCAAAGTCGTCTTCGTCCATAGCTAGGGCCACTGACAAGATACGGCAAGTTAAAATAGAGATGAATACTAGTTTCTAGAAGATCAGTGAAGAGAAAATGAAATGCGGCATGATCAAAATTAATCTGAGTCTTAGAGTGAGTGATCTGAAGGAAAGAACGACGGTGCGCTGCCATGCGACAAGAAGGCACGACGCCTGCAGCCGCGTTCACGAAAGATGAGAACCACCCCAATCGTTTCAGTACACCAATACAAATCTCTATACTTGTCCTGTGCCACGATCTCAATTTTAAAACTTTTCAATAGGTTCCGAAAAAGGGAGATGTTGGCGTTAGAGTTTCACGCATATTGACTATTCCCAAATAGGAATCTAGGCACTATTCGCCCTGAAGAGTGCGGTAATCGACTAATCAGCACCCTGGGTCTTAGCCGCGCCTTCCACGCGTGTCGCGTCGCGCCCTCCACCTTCGCGTCACCTCAACGCCCGCAATCGCCATCCTATTCTCAACCGTAACACATCCCACCTAATCCATTTTGGGCCACAATTTGTTCAGAGGGATACAATTCATAAAGAATCTCAATTCGAAATCACAACACTCATCACCAAAAATGGAGGACCCCACCCCCGTCGCACCGGTTCCCCAGAAGCGTCCGCTCGAAGATGAAGTCGAACCTCCCATCACACCAGCCAAGTCCACAACCAATTCGCAAGCCTCAACACCCCTCTCGGTACTCTCAGTTCAAACACCATCGCCTCTAAAGAGTAGCGCATTGAGTTCGACCGCACCCAACAGCAAGTCTACCGACGGTAATGGTCTTTCCAACACAGATGTCGCCACATCGAGCAGCACACAGCAAACAGCCAAAAGGAGAAGGCTGACTACTCAAGAGAAAGAGGCACAGCGTCTTGAAAAGGAAGCGAAGGCTAAGGCACGGGAAGAGAAGAAGGCACAAAAGGAAGCTGAAGAGAAACTTAAGGCAGAGGAGAAACGAAAAAAGCACGAGGAGCGTGATGAAAAGAAGCGCATAAAAGAGGAGGAACAGCAACGCCTTGAGGAGGAAAAGGCAAAGAAGGCACGGGTGAGTCCACATTCACTGAGAACAGAGAAGGATGTTGTTGCCATGTTCCGCAACACCTTTCTCTGACTGCAGCGCCGAGTTATTTCCCGGTGCTACATTTACTAAACTGAGCAACGCTAACTCGGTAACAGTCACAGATGAAGCTGAACGCTTTCTTTGTAAAGCCAAAGGCAGGGACAAGCCCGGGACAGGCTGTGGTAGCTTCATCCCAGAATCCCACAACCTCCGTATCATTACCAGACAGATCTGGAGCAAGTACTAATTCGATCCCGCCCTCCCCACAGAAGACTATCGTCAAGGATGCGAAATCAGACTACGAACGCTACTTCTTGCCGTTTAACATACCTGCACACACGATTCTCGCGCCGACGAATGCCCTTCTGAACGGTTCAGAACGATTAGAAGCCGCTCGAAACCGACTAGAGAATGTTATTGCACAAAAAGATTCGTATTCGGAACCAATAACGCAGGAGGCCTTGGTGTCACTCTTTCCAAAGCGAAATGTTCGGGGCCACAGGACAGCTACAATTGCGGAAATTGTGGAATGCGTCAACAACTCATCTGACCATCCTATCGATATCACTTCTACGAATAGTGCAGCATCACGGCATCCATTAGAGATACTGAAAGAGATACCCATGAAGTATATCCATTTCTGCACGGACGTACGCCCGCCCTATTATGGAACATATACTAGGCCATACACTCACACCGAGGCTTCTCGTCTTGCACGCAATCCTCTATCAAGAGTTCGAAAGGATACCGATTATGACTACGATTCTGAAGCTGAGTGGGATGAGCCCGAGGAAGGCGAAGATTTGGACTCTGACGGTGAAGACGACAACGAAGATGAGGCAGACGACGATATGGATGGCTTCCTTGATGATGAAGAGGATCCACAACTAAAACGCGGACTCATTAGCGGCGACCTGGTACCCGTTAGCACTGGCTTATGCTGGGAGGATGCAGAGAGCGTATCTCGGCTGAACGACGGATCTGACGCCATTTGTACAGACTTCAAGGAATTCAAGATGGAATTCTTACTGGATCCGCAGATGCGGTCGATTGATCCCTTCTCTACCGCATACTGGGCGCCGGATTCAGCAACTGCAGTCCCCGCTCCCACCACCGCAAACAAAGAAACAGCCAGTAATGGCGCCATGAATCCACCCAAAGCACCCCTCACGCAGCGCACTATGAACGGCTTGTTCAACACCCTAAATGGCCCTCAGAGCACTGCGTCAAGTACGTCGGGTAAACCAGCCAAGGCCAAACGAATGGTACCTGCCGAGCAACTTGCCGCATTCAAGGCGGAGATTGAAGGCAAAGATCTCACCAAGCTCGGTATGATTGAGTCTTTGAAGAAAGCCTTTCCGAAACTGCCAAAAGACGCCATTTCTAATACCCTGAGTGTTGTTGCTGCAAGGGTAGGCCCCACCGAGAAAGAAAAGCGGTGGGTACTCATCAATTCATGAGTACGCCTGGTCTTTTTCACCCATTTCAGTAAATCTTTTTGGTCTGCTTTATCTTCAACCAATTCTCGAGCATGTCTGGCGCACAGTGTTATCGGCTGCATTTGGGTTGTTTTTAGTCATCATTTCAGTACAGCGGGAAACGGAGCATGGTGTTGGGCGCTTCTATATCTTGCCGCTGATGTCGTTTCACATCACACCATGACATAGCCTCCCGATGTATTGTGGCTAGATTGGGGATTCGAGAGTAGAAATATGGTGCATGTCTCAACAAGAATCTCGTGTCGGGAAAGCCTGGAGATATGACATGCACGTATTCGTCAAGCAAATCATGTCAGGCGTTATATCGGGTACGGTGGCTATTATGCTCATGTCATCAAAAGGCGATTCACCGGAGTTCATATTCAGGCCAGTATACACTTCCTATCTTTAGTGGATTGTCTCTACAATATTTCCACGTATTATACCAAAGTATATAGTTGAGAAAGAATGGCACCAAGTCGCTCTGCACATAAAACTAGACAAGAGCCCATGACGCGTTCACCCTCACTTGCGCAAACTGCGTAAGCGCTTAGGCATCACTTGTGAAGTGCTCGTGGCACGAAAAATGTAACAGTCAGATTTCGGGGGAGAGTCATCAATCAGCCAGGGCCCAACAGATGAAACCACGCGTACACTACGTGATGACAGTCATCCGGGCATGAAGGCAGGCAACATGGATACAGATACAAAGGCGACTGAGAGCGACCAGCCTGGCAAGCAAGGAAGTACAGTGCTGTGCAGGAATGCACGGATCGGGAATAACAGAGGGAAATGATCATCTCCGGGATGTAGTAGCTCAAGTGCCTTTTACCTACAGATTAGCTCGGCGCATACGCAAACCTTGTGGTTCTGGTATTCAAGACCCATGTAGGCGCGAGGATAAGAATAGATAGCCGTCGGTCTACACCTGCACTGTGGTCCGTGCGCTCGGGCGCTTGCGTTGCTGGCGAGAACGTCGTGTCCAATCGACTACATCTTGTAAACGCCCGCTATCTTTGGTGTCTGAAGCCTACAAGACGAGTCCAATCATCGACGTCTTTGTATTACAATCCCTGGGCATCGGAGGGGATTATCGTTGTTCCTAATGTCATCTCCCTGTCCGAAGCGCTGACACCACTCCTCCCAAGGTCGTAGTATGTCCACAACAGCATCAGCAGGCGCTCACTGTAGCGGTTGAGATCCGTGCGGGCCCGGGAACAGCGCAAGAATGCAGCTATGCGCAATCAGAGCCGGATGGTGGATATTGCTGCATGCAAGAATAGCTGACCCCGCATCCGACTGGTCAACTGCCTCCAGCCCCGTCTTAGTGTGTCGAGGTACAGATTGATCAGGGCATGAAGTACAAAGACGCTGTATCTCCTGCAGTACATCCAAGGCTCTAGCTTGAGACGTTCCGTGATTCTTGTCGTGGGTCGGTGCTATAAGCGCATCGTACTTTGTTCTTCCTTGACTTGCAGCTCACTGGATTTGAGCATCTCTCACTACTCGTCATGGCGTCTTTCCTTCTCTACCTCTCTGCAACTGTGCTGTTGGCTCAGTCAACAGTTGCATCAAACTGCACTAAGAAGCCGATATATGTCGATATACACAAGCGGGCCGTTCATGATTCTCCAGTCTTCCAGTATGGATCGTTCATCGGGCTCGGAACACCAGCACAGAATAACAGTCTTTGGCCATCATTACAGCAGAACCATACCTCCTTTGCAGCCAGCAACTACTGCAAAGACAACACAACACTCAAGAACTGCGAAACAAGCACAGGCGGCTTCTTCAACTTTCGAGATTCGACAACGTATGTTGCTTCCTCTTTGTGATCACTACACCGATTAACATATGATGCAGGTTTGAGGAAGAGGAGAACTTTCAGACACTAGACAAAGCCCAGGACAAGTTCTCGGGATTCTTTGGTCAAGAGACCCTTCGACTCTACACACACTACTTTGAAACGGACGGAGCAACACAAACACTTGTACCAAACTCGACCATCGAGGTTGCAGAGTCAGGATCAATAAGTCCAGGGAGAGTTGGCGTCGGCGCTTCGTCAACATTACTGCGGGACCTTGTGGCGCAGGGTGTGACTGCTGGATCAACATACTCTCTCTACATCGGTCATGGATTTGATCGCGCTGGAGGTGTAGTCAATGGCAGCAACGTTTTTGGAGGATATGACTCTGGGCGCTTCACGGGCGAGCCACACAAGTACGCGATGAACATAGCCAACATAAACCCAATGAGTGTCCGTATCAAGGACGTCATCATCACTGGGACGGCTGACAACTCAAACACGTCGCTTTTTGACAATACAGTGTTCACCGACATGAAGTCGCGCCCTGGGGACTTTGAAGCCCAGATTACAACGGAGCAGTTTCCATTCTCTCTACCCTACCAGATTACACAAAACTTCATCAAGCACCTCGGAGCCGAAAAAGACAACAGATGGGACGACAACTCACTGAGGCTCAAAAACAGCTTCAATGGTACCCTTACGATTGTCCTCGAAGATGGCTTCACCGTCACCCTACCCCCAGAAGTCCTCATGAACGCATCAAACATCACCCCAATCCAAGACCGTGACGAAGACGCCAATACCCCCTTCTACCTTGGCACCGCCTTCCTCGGCCAAGTCTACCTCATGGCCGACTACGAATCCAACTACTTCTACCTCGCCGAAGCCATCCAAAAGAACAACGTGGTCATGCCCGTAACCTTTTGCCCCAAATCCGTCCCCGTCGCCTACCAGCCCCCCGATCAATCCGAATGGCAGCGCCAAGGTCTCGTTGGCGCAGTCATTGGCGGCGTCATCGGCGGTCTCGGTATCCTCGCTGCAAGCTACTGTCTCTGGGCCACTTGGATGCGCAAGAAGGACGAGCGCAAGCTGAAAAGGGAGTTGCAGCGGAACTCGCAGCGGAAGCTCGAGCAGATGGAAATCGAGGAGGCGGCACCCAAGTTTGATCCCCCGCCCAAGAGCGTGAATGCGGCAAAGGCAATCTTCTGGCGGAAGAATATGCCGAGGACTACATTTTGATTTTTTTTCTCAAATGAATATGATGATAGCTTGTAGAGCCTTTGCTTTTTTAAGTAACTTTCGTTGTTATACCCTGGGTCACAGATTTACCATCTGACACCAACTTATTACTTCTCTTCTTCTTTTCACTACTATATAGCTACATAGCACTTGACCCTTTTCAACCTCCCTTCAATCAAAACCATTTACTTTTTTACTTCCCCCCCCCTCCTCTTCCAATCTCAACATCTTCCTTGCTTCCTTCCAAATCCGGAATCCCCCATCGATTCCTGTCCTCCCACTCGCCCTACCGTGCACAGACCCTCTCTACCCCCCCTTCTATCGCAATCGCACGACGTTCCCGAACGGGACCTTGCATTACCCCCCGCATTAGGCAATTTCGCACCGTTCTGACACGGAGCCGTGGATTACAGCACTTGAATCATATTTTCTTTTTTTCCTTCCCCCAGTCGGTTTTGCGCGCGATGACCGTTTTGGGTATACGCGCCCGCCCCGCCCCTTGTGGGTCAGATAGAGGTGCAGCGTGTACTTGCTTGATGGGGCAATGTGTTGATTACGGTGCTTGTTTTTTTTTGCTTATTCGTAAGTGAGATGATGGTGGGTGTGGAGGTGGTTGCTGTTTTAGGTAGATTTGGGGGAGGCTGTGGATTGCAGGGTGTTTTACTAAGGAGAGGGGGATGGAGGATTGTGAGGGTGGGTGAGGGACGGGATGTTGGCTGGGAACTACGGTAAGGTATTGGCCAATGGATATATGCGAAGAGGGTTGTTATTCGGCATTGCGGTAGTTACTTAGTGCTTGCGCAGAGAAACTAGATTTGTCGGCGTTAGGACTTGGGGACAGAACTTGCAATAGTAACACAACGTTCGTGGTGGTCCAGAATCACTGCAAGGTACGTCAAGAGGGTTATAAAAATTCCAGGCCTTTACAATATTCTTCTAAATGCAGCTCAAATCAGAATCCTGCTGTCATCCCTTCCTCCTCCGCCTGAAATTCTTTTTTTTTTTCTCCAAGACGCAATCACATTGAGTACGACATTCCACACCAACAATGACACGCTATAGGTCCGGCCGCAAACGCAATATAATATTTCGAACCAGGACACTAGCCTCATTTCAGTTTCTTTCATCAACAAACAAAACGTACAATCTGCACCTTACCTGAGTTGGACACAAGAGTGCACACCCTTTTTGGTCGTTAGTGTTGCAGGATGAATGCTGCAACATGGGGTTAGTAAGGGTTTTGATATCGGCATTTTATAGACATGCCCATCTTGATAGAATCTTCTTGCAGCGGGTGCGGTGGATTCTTATTTCGGCCGAGGCTGGATCTAGGAGGAGAAATGTGAGAGGCGCTATTATGAGGAGCGTGTAGTGCATTGTAGATGAATATGTTCGGATAGAGATTGTCGAGTTGGTATTGAGTTACAAAAGGGGGTTGATTGGGTCAAAGGCGCGAGGTCAATTAGATATATGTATAATGTTGAACGCGGCAGACTGACGATAGTGTTTTCTCTATCTAGAAGTGTGGTACGGGTAGAAGCAGGGTAGTGCACACCACGGGTAAGAAGTGGGCTTACGTCAATCAATATACGTCTTCACTACTCCCACCCACTCATCATTCTGATCTAATCCAATCAACACCTCCTTTATCTGCATAGGTTGCAACGCATTGATGTAAAGATCTGTGCTTCCTAGACCTTCCCAATATGGCGTGTCGCAAATAGAAGTAAGAATGATATTGGGACCCAGTCTAAGGGCAAATCATCAAGAGCCTCTTGTGATTTTGGAGGAGGGGGATATATACACACTTAGACCAATGTTCACAGCCAACCCAGGTGCAGACCAATAGAGCCCGGGAGATTCTATATGTCGACTTCGAGTATTGCGACATTCAAACATTTTCAGGCGGGCCCAAGGAGCTGAAATCATGAGAGCAAGAGCTTGGGTTTACAACGCTTCACATTGGATTGGTGTATGACAACATACTTGTTCTTTTGTTTACCAAGATGGTATAGAAATCTTTGGAGTTATTTGACTTTTTATGTTCTCAAATTCCTACGCTGTCTTGTGAGTACTTGGACAATGCTAGAGATGGCGATTGGTTAATATTGAATCATGGAGACACTTTAAAAAATTTAAATGTCCGTTGTACTATAACAATTCTCCTGCATCGTTTAGCCAGAAAGGAGGTGTTGCTACCAATACGATAAAATAGGAGATAGGTAGAACAAGTCACCATGAACCTGAAATCATGACTGCATCGCGTCATGTAGTTGTTTACAATATGGTACAGATTTTTGGATTATAATCTTGTCAAGGTCATGAATCGGGCGAAAAGCTAAAGCCGAGCGGTGCAAGAATCTTGTCTTGCACGACCTTGTTAGCTGCTTCGCCGCCTTTCTCAAGTGCCACCGCCCCGACAATGGCATATAACGAAGTCATAAGAACTGATTCAATACCGGAGCCTTGTAGGTTGTCCGCCTGTGGTGTATTAGCCATTGGATCTGCCTGATCAAACATAAGTTACATACCCTCCTGGGCTTCCACCGAGTAACCTTATCCAAACCATATTTCTCTGCTATTGGTGCTAGTCGTGACTTGTTCAACACTAGACTCTCTGCCTCATCGGTCAGGCCTTGCAGTCCGTTCAAGGCGGGGTGGAGGTATGGTTTGCGGCCAAATTCGTCATTCATGGGCACACCATTCGAGTCCCTTGGCCATTGGTCTTCTTGTGGCGAGTTTATGAGCGCTTGTGATGTTTGTAGTTCGACAATCCTCCGTCCTGGCGTCGGTATTAGTTTCCTGCCTAACCAGCCGTTTCCCATACACACATACCCAGATATGCCAGCCGGTCGTTGAAACCCCTCTTTCCGTGATCGAAACTCTTATGTGTCACTGCTAGCCACTTGACCTCCTCTCCCAGCACCTTGTCACCGCCAGGGCCCAACATGCGCACATAGGCATCGTCTAATCGCTTGGGATCCTCATTGACCTTGAAAATTCCACCTTTTGCCTGAGGCCGTAACCTAAAGGGGGCCACCATTCTTTGGGGTGTCTGTTTCCATCGTGGCCGTTGTGCAATCTCAGTATCGTTTTCGGGCGCGGCTTTGGCGGGTGTGGTGGTTGAAAATGCGCATGCGGAGGTCCGCACGATGGAGGCTTGTGATGGACGCGCTGAACGTAGTGACGACGAGGCGGTCGAGACGAGTGATTGGAGAGGCCGTTTGGAAGCCATTGGGGGTGTTTTTATAGGCAGAGAAGGCGGAGCGGTCCGATTGGGGCGGCCAGTCCAGGCGCTGGTGCTGGCGGAGGTGAAGTTCGCATCATCGAAAAGTTGCGGCACTCACGACGCCTTGCCGTAATCGTACTAGTTCCGGTCGCGCATCCGCTCCCCCATCTTCCCCCGATACGCGACCTTCTCCCCTGGTCGTGCTTCTGTTGGGCCAGTATGGCGAGTTCTGGTGCCTCCGGCTCGCTGAAAGAGCTGCTGGCTGAGCAATTGCCAAAGGACGTACCCATCACCTTCTATCACTACTCAACTCCGCCCTCCAAGTCCTCCGCCCTCTTCTCCGCGCCTCCCCATGGCAAGTCCGAAAAGACGTACTGCGAATCGCATACCTTGGCCGCCTCCATTATCCCCAAGGACGCTGTAGCCTCAGGTTTGCCTGAAGAAGTTCTTGTACTTGCCATTGAAATCTTGATCTACACTACGAGAAACCTCACAACCATATTCGTGTCCAAAGCCGATTCCACAGGCTACCTCTCCGAGCTACAGTTACCGAGGTCGCAATCCTCGTCACCCTTGAAAGTTATATGCCGTACCTTTGTGTCTTGGCTTGCAAGAGAAAGGCAACGGGAAGGCAAGAAACTGGTCATATCTCTGTTTGCAAGAGCGCAGGACCAATATCTGTTTCCTGCAAGCATTGAGAACAAGAACAAGCATGTGCTGGACGACAGGGGCTTGGTCAAGTGGTGGTGCAAAGTCCTCGATCCGATCATCTGGGAATACAAGGCTGAAGGGGACCGGAAACCCTTCCCCCAACGTTTAGTCGAGGGCGAGCCTACCGAGACAGCCACTCTGTCACCACAGGTAGAGTCTACGGCGAGAGGCTACCTAGTGATCCCAGGTTTCGAAGCGTACGATACTTTGCGATATACCCCACCAAGCCCTGCACCAAATACACCTCGTCGGTGGGCTGCCGCCCATCCCCTCCTCCAAATAGCTCCTCATCCTGCTGCTCCGCCGCGCTGCCTCGTCCCCCATTTCCCGGACGATCCAAAAGCTAGATTTCTTGACGAATTGGACGAAGAACTCCCAGACCGGGGGACAGATGCCATGGTGGCTGATGGAGGGACACCCTCGAGAAGCAACGGGCAATGGAAGAGTGTGAAGACGCTTGATCAGTTCTGGGAGTTTATGGCATTCAGACAAGAGTGCTCCTCAGGCCGGATAGTGGGCTTTATCTGGGTTGTGATCACGCCGCCGAAGCCCTCAATACCTGAAGAAGATGAGGATGTACTTTCGCAACAGTCCTTGTCTCAACCGCTCTCGCAGAATAAACCTCAGAAAAGTATTCGCACCCCTAAGCGCCCAAAGACGAGTCAGCGGAAGAAAGAGGCCAAACTGAAGTATGGACCTATACCCCTCGTTCTACCCAAGATCAAGTCAAGGTCATCACACCTGTCGACTTCTTCAAACACGTCCAAATCTGGTAAAATACCTCCTGAAACCAGTCCCTATTGGAAATGGCCTGCTTCATCACGTGGAACCATATGTTTTTCGCTAAAGAACTACGACCGTGCACATGAAGTGCTACTGCAACAGACGTTTGCGAACCGTGCAGCAGCAGCACGAAGTACAAAGAAATGGAAGGAGGAAATTGCCGTGTTGGGTGGGGTAGAAGACTGGGGCTTTGTAGTCACCGGAAGAAAAGATTTTACGTCTACAGACACGTCTTCAGGTGCAGCTAGCGGTGTGGCGCCGACTATAGTCATGGGTGTGCGGAAGAAGAGAAAGCCCAATGGGTCAGCAGAGGCAACAAACATGGCGCAACAGGCGGTGGAGCCAGTGCAGGAATTAGGGGCTGGCACAGTCCGCAAGAAAGTAAAGACTGACTCAGTCCTGCCGACCGATGCAAGTGCTGCCAACGGGGTGAATACCTTGACGGCTGGATTGGTACGCAAGAAGCCCAAGACGTAGGTTCGACCATACATGGAACTGGATATGATACTGGATGTCGATTGGCTTCTTGGGTACTTCTAAAATTGGCCTGTATTCGTCGTGGCCTGTGAATTTGCATAGCGCTGGCGTTTCCTTGGTTGCGCACTCAGAGTTTGAAATAATGAGTAGTTATACGTGTTACTTTCTGCTTATTTGATGACGGCAAAGAGGCCTGGGATCCTGCATTTGGACACTGGGTGGTTGTAGCGCGCTGATCTCAGCAAGCAACTTCACCTGCGGTGACGTCGAACAGGTACAGGTCTCCTTCAACCCCTACAATACAAAAGCGCCGTCTCTCGCTCCCTTCCCTCGCTCTGTACCTGCGTTGTCACTAATTGTATCCTTTTCGAGGTACCTGCGTGGTGTGGTCTTGGCAAGCTGTCACTCCTTTACGTAGTCAAACTCCGCAACCTCCGCGCTTCGAGATTCGTCAACATCCCACCCTTACGTATACGGTCCCTACAACAATCTTCGCGCATGCTTCGCGCACCCGACCCTGCGATCCGAGACGATGTCTCTCAGTTGCGCTTTATTGTCGCGACTGGCTGTCTGATTTGGTGGGTGGTAGTATGGAACGTCTGCGCTATTGGCTTCATCCAACTGTTTCGATACTACTGGAAGAGGCCACAGCCAGCAACATGCGTAACCACGTTGGATGAGGAAAAGGTGCCTCATGTTACAGTTATAAGACCGGTCAAGGGTCTCGATCCACGTCTTTACGAATGCCTCGCAGCCACCCTCCGCCAAACGTACCCCAGGAACAAAATAAACACCGTCTTCTGTGTTCCCGAACGATCCGATCCCGCATTTCCGATTCTAGAGCGCCTATGCAAAGACTTCCCAGATGTCGATGTACAGATATTGGTTGAGGAGGAGGATCCCATGCTGCTCAAGAACAACAATACGCTGGGGCCCAATCCGAAGATTAGGAACATGAGCCGCGCTTATAGGGAGGCCAAGGGCGATATTGTGTGGATACTGGATTGCAACGTCTGGGTTGGAAAAGGCGTCTGTGGCCGCTTGGTAGATCTACTGTGTGGCTTCGGGGAGGGCAGTAACGGGAAGAGCAAGACAAAGTACAAATTCGTGCACCAGACACCGCTCACGGTAGACCTCGACTCGCAGGATCTCTCGCTCAAGGACAGAAAGGAACTACTTGGAGGAAAACCAGCCACCGCAGCAAAATCAACGAGCATTGCGGCAACCACATCTTCTGATCCCCGCAACCATTCCAGTAACACCATAAGTAAGCTCCTTCAGCGTGGTGGAGGTCGCCTGGATGAAGCCTTTATGTCATCCGCGCATGCAAAGTTCTATCAAGCCATCAACACTGTTGCCGTAGCCCCTTGCATCATGGGCAAAAGCACCATGTTCCGCCGTTCACAACTCAACTACGTTACTTCATCCAACCCCGACCGCGCCGCCGGCATAGATTTCTTCTCTGACAACATCTGCGAAGACCACCTCATTGGCGACGCCCTTTGGAAACAACCTCAAGCCTTTGAACAGCCCGGCTACAAACCCGAACCAGGAACGCAAAAGGAATCATGGGGCAAACACGCAATGCTCTTCGGTGACTTCTGCTTCCAACCCATCAGCCACACCTCCGTCTCCGCCTACCTTCACCGCCGCGTCCGCTGGCTCCGGGTCCGTAAATTCACAGTCACACTCGCTACCTTTGTCGAACCAGGCACTGAAAGCATTCTTTGTGGTCTCTACGGCGCTTACGCTCTCACCACCCTACCCTTCTTCGCAAAACTCGGTATCCCACCTACGTGGCTGTCTTTCTTCCTCGTCTGGCTTGCCCATCTTGCGGCGTGGTGTCTGGTAGATTACATCCAGTACCTCCTCCTGCACTCCGCCAAGACAGTGGAAATCGATACAGATACCCCGGATTTCGTGCTCCCGCAGCGTTCAGCGTCAGCGTACCATCGGTCTACAGATGATGCGACAAAGCCTTTGCTTAGCAAGGATAAGGCTTCTGCCGAGCCCAGCCTACTCGATGGCGCAAGAAGAAGTTTCAAAGACTTCTTCTTCGCGTGGCTGGGCCGTGAGGCTTTTGCACTTCCGGTGTGGGTCACAGCGTTTTGGGGCGGGACTACGGTTGAGTGGCGGGGAAGGAAGTTTTGGGTTGGGCTTGATACCAAGGTTCATGAGATTTTGCCTGATGAGAAGAAGAAGGGTGACGATAAGAAGTAATGGCGGTAGATTTTGTATATTGCATAGTAATCAATGTTGAAAGCGTGATTTAGTAATCATCACTCTATTCTTCGTGTGACATATTTGACTGCAGTGCATTCTCTCTTCACCACTAAACACAGGTAGGACACTTGAACCACGAAAAAAAAATCATTCGCTCAAAAGAGCCTCATCGTATTCGTAGCGAAAACTACCCATTTTCCACTTACGAAGACCGGCCGGAATATACTTTGCATTTCAAGAAACGCCACCCTATAACTATAAAAACGCTCCACATGAAATAAAAAGACGCTCATGACCTGTGATATCCCAGTTGTATCTAGTAAGTAACCAAAGTAAACAACCAAAAAAAAATAACGTGTACGTATATAACTTGCGCTCGCTAGAAAAACATCATCAACAACGACAACAATAACAACAAGGAACGTTATCCCTAGTTCGTCTTTTCTCTATACAAGCCCGTCGGACCCGCAGTAAAAGCACCACTGAGAATCCTCTTAAGCTGCTCAGGCCTAGTTTCCGTGACGACGCGGTCACCATTCGCACTCGTGGTACTGCGTCGACTCAGCATAGTGCCGGTGCGGGTAATACGATCGGTGCTATAGGTCAATCCCATATCGGCGGCATTGCTACCGCGACGGGCCCTTCGGGTCGCCTCTTCGTTTTCCTTTTGGTAGCGAGTTTCCGAAGGGAGAAGGATAGCGCGGTCAAGGGCGTAAGGGAGACCACGGTGGCGGCCGCGGATTTGCATGGCGATGATGATGAGTTTGGAGAGGGGCTTGAATTGAGCGGAGAAGGAGGCGTTTGTGCCTGGGTAGCCCTGGCTGAGGCCGACGGTGCCATAGGCAGAGACGATTTCGAAGAGGACGGAGAAGAGGCTGAAGGCGTATTCGTTTGTGTTTTCGAGGCGGGTGCCTTCGATGATGGCGATGAGGAAGAAGCCGAGGAAGACAAACCACAGGTCGAAGGAGAGTTGGCGGCGGAGATGGTGCGAGAGGTAGCTGGATTTTGCGTCGTCGAGTTCGTTGTCGGCCCAGACACCGAGGGATTTTTCTTCGTAAACGTTGGATTGGCGGATGGACATGGCGATGGGGAAGATGGAGATGTACATCATGATTAGGTAGCTGACTTGGACGGCCGGGTGCAGGTCGGCGATGTTGACCACAGCGAAACCGGCAGTACGGGTCGAGGCGGCTTGGAAGAGACCGGCGAGGAAGCGGTGGCCGCCGGAGAGGGATGTAACGGTTGGGTCGTCGAGATCAAGGATGATAAAGAAGATAAGGTCGACGCCGTTGAGGATAATCAGGACCCAGAAAAGCCACCAGTTCGCCTGGCTGGGGAACAGCAGCGTGAAGCATCGACGTGGGTGGTCAAGCAAGAACCGAAGTTCCTCCCAAACACCACTACCCTTGGGTACCAACTTGGAGTAGATCCAGATTGTGAATCGGAGCATACAAGGGAATCCCGTGTTTCCGATAATGATAAGGAAAGTACCGATGAGCAAAGGCCACACCGTCAATTGGAAAGAAACCATTGAGTCGGGAGTGAGAGTAAATCCTAGATCGTTGAAGAGCGAAGCAGAGGTGAAGAAGCCCCACCAAGTCGGGTGAATACCAACTTTCTCCACAACAGCCCTGTACTGGGGACTATGCGAGATCCATGGCGCCAGAGAAATGACGCCAACAATGTGCCAGCCAAGGTAGAAGACGGTGAGAATGACTGCCAGCAGTTTCAAAGCTCGGTACTCGATACCGCCCAGCTCCTCTCTTTGCTCCTCGGTCAAATCAACAAAGTTGGAATTGCGTCCGAGCGTGGGTGTCCAGCTGAGATAGGGCATGGGATCTTCTTCTTCATCCTTATTCCTAGAAAGAAAGCTTGCAAAGGTCCGTGAGCGCGATCTGTTCCGGAGATGCATCGATGATGAAGGTCCATTGGAGTCGATGTCGTTTGTTCTTGTTCGATCGTAAACGGAGTGTCCGTTAGGTCGTTGTCTATCAGGGACGTCGATGGTAATGTGATTCTTCAATTGCCGGTCGTCTCCGCTTAAAGCAAAAGGTAGTGAGTTGGAGCGCTTATTCTTCTGGGCCGAGTGTGCACGAGAATCCTGTGACATCCTACTTGTGACGCGATCGAGTTCTTCCTCGCCCTCGACTGCTTCTGGAATAAGACCCTGATCGAAGTCGCGCGGGCCTGGAATGCGCAACTTGTTCCGTGTCGTCGGATTGCGCTGAGCCTCCACAAAAGCAATACTCCTTTCCTTGTTAATCTCAGGAAGCCGGCTGGCAGGAGACTCTTCTACCGAACTTCTGATTGGTTTTTGGTTTGCAGGTGTGTTGAGATTATCCGCCCATACAATGCCCGCCGGCGCATTTTGCTGCGGAGTCTGTGGCCGAAACGGTGGCATGTTATCCTCACTCGAACTCGACCGCCGTCTGGGACGAATGCCGTTCCCGGTAGAATCCAGTCCATCGCTAAACGCGTTTTCATTCTCGATTGTGCCGCCATGTGCATGTCCATTAGAGCCTCTCATGACGCGGATTTCGCGTGAGCCAACCGCTTGCTCTTCTCGTCCCGGATCCGCGCCATTAGTTTTCTTCGCCTCGCTCTTGCGCCTCGATAATGTTCGCGTTCGACCGCTCCTGCTACCCCTTTCCAGCACAATGTTCTGAAACCGCTTTTCGAACCAGTATAGGCGGACGACGACAACGGAGCTGTGGATGAAGATGGGCGTGCATAGACATGTCATGAGGTATAGTGTGATCTGTGGTTGGTCAGAAAGATGTTGATCTCCTGGTATTCCGGTCGTGCGCGCGTACCTGCTGATACAGATCGAGGTTATTGACATCGATTCTACACAATCTGTCAGTTTGTGATCACTATGCACCCAAGATTTTTTTAACATACGTGTTTAGACCACTTTGTGTTGCTGAGCCGCTGGCAAAGAAGAGGGCATCAATATATGGGATGCGCCCATTGCCATACATGATGACGGAGCCGATGAGCGTCCATGAGATGATGTATGCATCTACCCATTCGTAAGTATCTCGTCTCTGACCATTTTTTCTAATCGCATACATACAGTGAAGCGTGATAAAGTTGGCATGGGGCGTGAGTGCCTTGAGCGACGCCGGCGTGTGTTGTTTCAACCATGCAAAGAAGGACAACCAGGGGCCGAACATGATTGCCCTGCGAACGCCCTATAGGCGAAAGAAAACGCGTGACTATAGAAAAGCCCTCGGATGTCGATCGTCCCGTCGTAGGAGCAGACAAGAAAAGCAAAAAGATTAAAAAAAGAGTTCCAGTCTAGTCAAGCAGGCGACGGAAGCAACCAGTTATGACGGAAGGACAATGCGCGGACAGTAATGAAAGCTGAGTTGGTCAAGCGTTCGTTAATCAGCGGCGGCGGTGGCAGAAGGAGAACATCACATCAACGGACCGACCCGATAGCGCGTCGCAACAAAGGACCGTTTAAGAGCATTGTGGGTAACGACAAGGTTCCTTGATATTTAAAAAAGGGGGGTTGTGGAGAGGCAAGAGCGCGAAGAAATTCCAAACCACGGTTGGGTGGAAACCAGGGTTAGTTCCAGATGAACATCGCGAATGGATTTCCCGGCTTATCGCGGTGTGAGGCGCGATGATGCCAAGGGACCTCTGAGGGGCGTCATGCACGCCCAGGCCTTTGGGTTTTAGTATGCATTCGTGCGCGCGGCCCCGGGAAAGTTTTAGTTATGTCCACTTACCCCTGTATTGTATTGGGGACTTGCTGAAGTTACTGTGGTCTTACACCACACTTTTACTACAAACTACTACACTCAACCAACGGTAGGTTGTGTGGTACTGTTTATTATGAGTGACACAACGGACAATCAATCTTGCTTCTCGTCTATCTTGTCTCCCTTCACCACGTGTGACCAAATTCCCACTCGACTCAAAAAAAACCACGCATGCTAAGCCCACCTCCACACCCTCTTCAGCCCCTCGTATCATGCACCTCGACCCTTCCGAGCAATCCAAACTAGATGTGTTGTCACATCTCACCATGTCTCTCCCCATCTGCCGTCGCCCAAAATCCCTCTATCCTCGCCTATCCCGCATATTCCGTCTTTCTCGCTATCTCATCCTTACCTCTGACATCACACTGCCCCATTCGCCAAACAAACTTTCCTCTATCCTATACCAACCCATGCCAACCCCAATGCCCAGCCCCCCCAGCCCTAAACCCTTGAAACAAAACCACCTCACCTCACCGCACACGCCCTCTCTCTCTCGTCTACCCAAGCAAAGAGTCTGTGACACCCAGTGCATCGGCCGAAGATCAAAGTGTGTAAGCACACACGCGGAAAGTAGGCACCACCATCTGCACCCCTATCCCTCCTTTGCAAAATGCTCCGAGCGTCTGTGTGTGTTTTTTTTAAATTATGTGGCGCAGCAATTGTAACCACCGACTACAGTACATACCTACCTGCCCTGCGCCACACACGCACACACACCACTTCATTTCACCTCTCTTTCCAAAGTAACTACATACAACCATGAGATCCGATAGTAGGCCGGTCTTATCTTTTCCATCTTTCCATGCTCTCGCTCTCCATAACACATACTACATTTTTTCAGCTCACCGCCGCCCCACAAGCATCAGGTATAAGTACGTGTATACGATAAGCCCCTCAAACTTAAACAAGTCTTGCCAACTCGGATCCCGGCATCCGCCGGCGGGTGTTCGGAAGCGGCAAGTGCCCTGTTCCGAGGGAAGAAGAAGAAGGCAAAAGGGAACCAAAAAAAAGGGCGCATAGGTATTGGCGGTTGGATGACATATTAGTCATGAGAAATACTACTACCAAGCTGTCTGGTCGTAAAGTACACACATATGTAAGACTCCTAACGGTCCGACTTGGGCACAACCGGACGTACTATACTTCCTAGTATACCCAAGTTAAGTCCATGACAAATCATATTGTGCACAAACACGCCTTCCTCCTCCTCCTCCTCCTCCTACGTTACCACAGGTATCTCTAAGATGATGCCAAGAAAAAGCACTGCACACGTGACACTTGCTTATAGAAACTAATACTCAAAAATCAAATCCCAATACTACTGTTGCAAAAAAAACATACAACAGCGGGGATTCGCCAGTGGTCTCCCACCTGACTACTAGTCCGCCGGTCAAAGACTTAACGTGCGGAGAACGAACGGGATCCAGTGCTAGATTTCGCCGATGGTCGTATGTCATTTTCGAATAGTATGCACAGACGAAAAAGCCAACNAAAAAAAACATACAACAGCGGGGATTCGCCAGTGGTCTCCCACCTGACTACTAGTCCGCCGGTCAAAGACTTAACGTGCGGCGAACGAACGAGAGCCAGTGATTTATTTTGCCGATGGTCGTATGTACCATCTCGCTGGAAAAAAAAACGGTATCATGTTTCGCAAATGTCAAGTTGCTGGCGGACAGGTGGCTTCACGTGATTGCTATTGATAATGTACATAGCTTGAGCACCCTACCCACTACACGGAAAAACAAACATCTTTAACACTCCCTTGCCGCACGCGGTATAGAGATGCTGTAAAAGAAATCCTGCAAAAAAAAAACGATATGTGTGTGAAAAAAATTTGTGGGCAAAGGATCCAAGTATTTTGTAATTATGTATATGAATTTTTTTTAAAGAAAAAAAAAAGAGTGAGAGATGGACAAGTTCATACGACATTTCTGCTATCAAAACACTACTTACATGCAACAGTACTCACTTACACACACATGAACGACTTGTCTTCACATCTCCTACGTCGAAAAAAAAATACATGCATCCTTTTCGCATCTTTTAGATCAAAAAAAAGCCCACGAACGCGAAAAAAAAACAATGGACACGTTTAATGCAAATTTCCCTTCATTTCGTACTCATTCATCATTGTACTTTGTAGATAAAAAAAAACAACAATATTACCACCAGACCTTTAGTCAGTTCCATTTACCGCGGCAGGCAAGGTAGGTGTGGTTGCGCCAGAGTTGGGCTTGCTCTTGGTCTTGAGGGTAAGTGGGAAAGTAAAGTCATCGGCCTCTTCCTCCTCACTGTATACTTGTTAGTAACTATCCGCAAACAGTTAAAATCGTCATTGGGCACTTACGGAAGCTTCCACGCAATGTAGTCCTCGGTGCTCAGTCCCTCACGGCCTTCCTGCAGCGAAGCAAAGTCGCCAGGAGTCATCATACCCGAACGCTCACGGGGCGATCCAGGCTCGGACAGAGGCCGAGAAATCTTGACATCTTGCGAATTGAAGAAGTCGGGCTCCTCGTCGTCCTCGTACGCCGCAGGGTATGCTCGTCGGAGCGCCAGTTGTCGGGCCTTGACATACTCCAAGCCCATGCGCTTCCAGTCGAGCAGGTCGCTGAGACGCTCTGTCCGATTCCTCTGGTTGATGCGTTGGCGCTTGCTCTTCTTTGTGAATTCAAACATGTAGTCGACGAGCTGATTGACCGACTCGTCTACGCCCTTCATTCTCCGATCTACAATGTAGATACCGTAGTCTTGAGCATTCTCAATCAGCTCCTCCATATAGCAACCAAAGCCAGACAGATTTGTTGTGATACTTGGAACACCCATGACCGTGCATTCGGCTGGAGTGTATCCCCATGGCTCGTAGTAAGATGAGAATACACCAAGATGGGTTCCACGGACAAAGTCGTCGTAGTCCATGGGCAGTACGGGGTTGGCCGAGTTCAAAAACTCCGGGTGGAAAACAACCTTGACACGATCGGAGGGGTGGTTGAAGAGCTGGCAGCGACGCAGTTGGTTCAGCACAGGATCTTCGGCATCGTTGACCATGTTGTGAGTGACAATGGGCGGCAGGTTATGGCGCTTCATGGCGAACAATCTTCGGCGGAGCAGAATCTTGTCAGCAGGTGTGATCAAGTCCTTGTCTTCAGGGAGCTCAGAGCCCTCTGTCCAAGTCAGGGAGCGCTCAAACAGCTTCTTGGCTACATTCTCGGCAATGTTGTTCACACTGTCGTGGAGCGCCTTGATGACTGCCTGTCCCTTGAGCGAGTCGACTGAAAGAGATGTAGTCTGTGCGGGCAGAATGATAAAAGCAACGACTGTCATGTTGGAGTTCTCGCTCTTCATCCTGTGGTTCAGTCGTGCCAGTGATTCGATAAACATGTCTACACCCTTATTCCGGTACTCGTAGCGACCAGCTGTGAAGAAGTAGAGCGTATTCTCGGGATCAAAGTCATTGTGACCGTAGAAATGTCCACGCACAAAGTCGTTAATCTTGACCTTTGCCTGCTGGTGCAAGTTCTGGAACTCGTGCGTCGCAGAAAACTTCTTGACATTAAGACCGTTGGGCAGTACACCGTCTGGCTTGCGCTTCAAGAGATGCTCGCTCTCATAGGCAGTGATGTGAGACACGGTCGTGAAGACGTCGGCAGCGTGTGTGGCAGCGCGCTCAATGCAGTAACGGTGGTAAATACCCCGCTTTCCTGCTTCGGCATCCACATCAAAGTATTGCAGATTGTTGTAAAAGTCGACAGAGCCAGCGCACAGGTAGCGGCCGAGAAGTGTGGCGTGGGTCGTGAAAATGGTAGTCACGTCGATGCGGCGCTTCTTGCAAAGGGGCACTGCAACACCTGCCAGCCATTCGTGGAACTGGACAATGACGGCTCGCTGCTTCTCATGGTAGACATACTGAGAAAAGCAGTTAGCAAAATGTACCAAGGCTGACTTCATGTTTGCTTCGTACCTCGCCCAAAAACCAAGCAATGAGGTAGCCAAAGACAATGGCCTCGTTGGTCTCGGAATCGCCAGGAGGCGAAGGAATGCCAGTGGAAGACCAGAGGTCGCCCTTCCACTCATCAAGCCACCTGTAGCCAGTGCCAGTATCAAAGAGGAGCACGCGCGGGGCACCGTCAATCAGCCATCGTCCGTATAGCGTCTTGATGCCCCGCTCGTCCATGGACTTGATCGTGGCCAGCAGAGCAGGGTCTTTGGGAACAATGGGTTCTACTTCGACGGCGGCCTGTGGACTTGTGAGCAGGGAGTGTCGCAGTGATCAAGTATGCTGCTTACCGAAGCCCTATTCCACGGGCCGAGCAGAGTGTATGCAGCGCCATACTCTGCTGTGGTGACCTGGGCCTTTGACTTGAGGACCGAGTAGATGCCACCGACTGGAGCTGATTAGGGTTTTG